ATACAGTCTAAAGGTCCAAGGAAGAAGCATAGTCAAATGGACGATAACAACTAAGTTTTGTACCAAGTCTCTAATAACTTTTGTCATATGTTCCAAGCTAATATTTGTCTAATAACTTATGTTCTTAACAGAGATTCTGTCCGGCAGTCTTCTACAGGTTGACATAATTCTATTAGCATGCAAGCCATACTGCGTTTACACTGCTTCGTGAGAATTTTCATGGGTATAACTGGTGAGTGGCTGGACTAGGGTGAGTATCCTGGACTAGTGTGAGCATAAGAATGAAGGTAACTGCAGAAGGCTTATTGGCCGATACGAGGCAGCTTTATAACCACCCAATCTCATTCATATATATGTCTAACGAGCGCTTGAAACAATCAAGGGATCCCACTTCTATTACGCTACGTGGTAATTGGATACACAAATCAATAACCCTATTACCGAACCAGTATTTACCCAGGTCTTTCCTAAATCTAAACTTATCCAATTTAAACCATTTAATTTTGCCCCGAGGGACAAGTTTATTGGGCAGCGGCACTCATCTTTGGACGTGAGTGAACATACCGCCATAGCAGCGTGTGCAACACCCCCCCCCCCAATAGGAAGAAAACCCAATGGGTTGTTCATCCTGTCACTTGTACCCAGACACAGCTGGGACTTGCTTGCTGTCTCAAGTCAACAGCTTCTCAAACGAGAAGAGTAGCATTTGTCAACCCTTAAAATCTTACGTTATCTTGCGGGTGCAAAATGGGGAATCTTTTAAGAACAGTATCTATGGCAAAATTAAAAAAAAAAAAAGTATCTATGCGGAATATCCACAGAGAAATGGGAAAGGGAGATGAACGTTCCGGCTGATTAAGCCGTTGTCAACACCAGACTGAGTAAGAGAAACAAAGGGAGAGTACAGGCCAACAGCTAGAACCTGACCACCCATCCCCCAGGGAAAGAATTACCCAGAAACAGGTATAAATTAGCTTCGAATAGTCAAAGGGATTAGCGGTCAGAGAATAAGTATGGAAGATTAAAGAAAAAGTCTCACACCCATAATATATGAGTATAACACTGTAATGAGACATTGTAACCCTCCCTATCGGAGTTTTTTCTTAAACTATTGTGCAATATTGTAACTGAGAAGATTTGGACACTGACTGATTAGGGCAGCCAATTAAATTCCGTTCCACAAAACCATTGCAATTGGTAATGGTTTTCGCTCCATCGCACTTAATAGTGAGATCACACAAACTCGTGTGTCGATACCATGCACTAGACGTTTGGGCAGTTCTAATACTATAAGCATGTTGGGACAAACGCAATTGTAAGGATTTTCCTGTTTGTCCGAGGTATACATAATCACAATCATTGCAGGGAATCGAATACACACAACCTACTGTACCAGGGGGAGCTTTTTTGTTATTAAATTGGACTTGATCGTACTATTAGTGAACACCAAATTGATATTAGGTTTCTTAAAAACCGGGGAAAGTTTTTCAAGTTCCACCGCATAAGGTACCACCAATGGGTTTCTAATTTCTGGTTTCGCTTTGGGGACATCATTATATAACGTACGTTTAGCTTGCCCGAACGAGCAATCCAAAAACATCTTAGGGTATTGTAAACTCTTCCCAATTTCATAAGAACATAAGAACAAAGGTAACTGCAGAAGGCCTATTGGCCCATACGAGGCAGCTCCTATTCTATAACCACCCAATCCCACTCATATACTTGTCCAACCCGTGCTTGAAACAATCGAGGGACCCCACCTCCACAATGTTACGCGGCAATTGGTTCCACAAATCAACAACCCTGTTACTGAACCAGTATTTACCCAAGTCTTTCCTAAATCTAAACTTATCCAATTTATATCCATTGTTTCGTGTTCTGTCCTGTGTTGATACTTTTAATACCCTATTAAAAATATACCCATATATTTTACCGATCTCTTCATCAAAAGACTGCACACCCTCAAAGCTCGAAGAAACGTTCCTGAAAATACTGCTTGTTTAACTTTACTATGATGATTCGAATAATATTTTTTTTTTTAATCTTCATACTTATTCTCTGACCGCTTAATCCTTTTGGCTATTCTAAGTTAATCTATACCTCTTTCTGGGTAATTCTTTTCCTGGGGATGGGTGGTCAGGTTCCAGTTGTTGGCCTGTACCCTCCCTTTGTTTCTCTTACTCAGTCTGGTATTGACAACGGTGTTGATTGACCGAAACGCTAGGAAACATAATCCTACGCTGGACGCGTTCTAGTGAATTTATATCCATTCTATAGTACGGCGACCCAAACTAAACTGCAAAATCTAAATGGGGCAAAAAATCTAAAACCAGAGCAAGATATAGCTGAAGAACAACACCAGGTGTCCTAGCTGTCCAAAACCCAATGTCCTATTTGCCTTATTACGAACATTTATGCATTGATTTTTTGGTATTAAAGTCTTACTAATCATAACTCCCAGATCCCTTTAACAACCCGACTAAGGATGGAACGACAGGATGTGGAGTCTTGATTAGGGAGTACATTGACATCGGCACTGTAAATACTGTTATTGGACGCCACCTAACTGAGAATGTATCTTCAACCTAGGCTGAACTCCAAGCTGTATTAATAGGATTACAGAAAGTAGTCAAATGTGGTAAAAATCTACTGCATCTACTTTTGTATTCCTCCCATGTTGGTGTTAATTGTTTCTTTGGCAATGAAATACATTCTTGAAGGACATCATGCTTTGTAACATTAGAACATGAGGATCTTATTATACTCTCACGTACATTATTCATTTCTTCCCACCTTTTGAAGTGAGAGGATTAATTCATTAGCTCCCTCACCTCTCATTAGTCTAATCGCCGAAACTTCTTTTATCTCTGAAGTTCTATCCCCAAATATTATGCATGTTCAATTATATCATCATTATTTCAGTAATAGTATTTCTTGGGCCATGTGAATTAATAATCTTGGAATTATTCTCATGGCTTCATTTTTTACCTTCTCCAACATGTTTAGCCTGCCTTTACCACACAAGAAATGACAGGGGCAGCATAATCAATAAGAGATTTCACAGTTTGCCTAGTGATTACCATTGGAATGTGAAATGTAGAATATGATTAATAATTGTGTACTGTATGGGTTTGTGAGCCCCCCAAGGGACGTTATATACACGAGAGTAGAAGTAGCCTATGCTACTCTATCCTTTTGAGATGTACTTCCTTTTCTCAATAAACTTAATTGAACTTACAGAAGGAAACAGTAGGGATGTCACATGCATAGACATTATTCGGGATAAAGTATTAATGGCAATTAAACTGTTAATCCTACCGCCCCTAGGGAGAATAGGATAACATAGAATACTTAACGAACTAGCTGTTATGGAGAAAACTTACGGGCTATTCATGCCCATGCTACCTCTTGGGTGGCTTAATCTTTATCAATCAATCATGGAGAAAAGCTCATTGTTAGACCCAATTAATAAGAACATAAGAATGAAGGTAATATAAGAATCTGTGGTTTAGCATTACAACATTCTGGGACGAATCTGCAGTAATTTAATAATATTAGAATAATAATTACCTAAAAACCTAAACAGTTTTTCAGTTGTATCGAAAAAAAGATTATGGAAAGGATAGGTCCATTAAAAACTGAGACAGGTCAGATAACTGATAACGACGAAGCAATGAGTCGTATTTTTAATAAACATTTTATCTGTATTTATTAAAGAGGAACTTAAGATTATCCCTCAGCCCGTTATATATCAGCCCAGTTATATATCTATAGAAACTCAATAAGAATCGTCTAGGCTTAGAACCCTGCAAAGCGAATCTAGTCAAACATTGCATAACATTGTGAAACATACCTGTAGCATAACACTGTGAAGCATACATGTAGCATACATGTAGCATAACATTGAGAAACATACCTGTAGCATAACACTGTGAAGCATACCTGTTGCATAACATTGTGAAACATACCTGTAGCATAACACTGTGAAGCATACATGTAGCATAACATTGTGAAGCATACCTGTAGCATAACATTGTGAAGCATACCTGTAGCATAACATTGTGAAGCATACCTGTAGCATAACATTGCGAAGCATACCTGTAGCATAACATTGTGAAGCATACCTGTAGCATAACATTGTGAAGCATACCTGTAGCATAACATTGTGAAGCATACCTGTAGCATAACATTGTGAAGCATACCTGTAGCATAATACTCTGAAGTATACCTGTAGTTTAACATTGCACAACGTTGTTGTTGTTGTTGTTTAAGATTCGCTACCTGAAACAAAAAGTTCCAAGTAGCACGGGCTATGGTGAGCCCGTTGATTGCACAACGTTGGGAGGCAAGATATGTATGTATGTGTATGTGTGTGGGGGGCCAGAGTATGATAGGTTGATGTCTTCCGCACATGTCTTGCACAATATGCTTCTGGGAATCCCCTGAGTGGGATCAACAAACTAGACTTTTAACCCATTTCCACGAAAACAAACATAAAATTGGTCTTGTAATGATTTAGTTTTGTAAATTTAATGAACATGTTCTGTCATCTTATAAGCAGATAATATCGTATATATAGAAAAGTTTCTTAACCTCAAATTAATTAGCTTCATGTAGATTTATATGGTCATTCAGCAGCCGGCAACGCGTGACATGAATGAGGTGACGGATTAATTATAGTTAATCTGGGTAATAGTGTTGTATTATTTGAGGACGAGCATAGTTGGAATATTTTTGTATAATTCCTCTTGGTGATCGAGTTGCTTATTTACGTTCAGTCTTGAGTCACATTTTGTCATGACCAATTTTTGCGCATGCGTCCCTCGGTAGAATGTCACACCGCTATACATTGCACTTCTTGGGGTATAATATTACGTTAAAACACTACGATGCGAGTGAAACAATGCGGTTCTTAGGGTAAAGCAAGTTAGGGATAAGAGGTTAGGGGTGAGGGGTATATTGTTCGCTAAAATAAGAGTGTGTGAAAGCGAGTGTTAGTAGTGGCGCATGCGCAGAGCGGGTCAGTTGGTGCCTCTCCCTCACCATTGGCCTCGTACCATATATTGTCCCTCCTCGACTGATGCATAGCAAATGCATCATCTTTGATATACTTGTTCGACGCACCTTATTCTGTGTCAAGGCAGTTAATTGAAACATGAAATTTAAATATTGCGGCAATAACAACGCACAGGTGAGTGAGTGTAGTGTGTCGGGGCTGTGGTGTGGCAATGGCTGAATCTCCTCCTCTGCCTCCAGCCTCTATCTCGTTTAATTCCTCCTGCTTTAAGCGCCCGTATTACACGCAAGAGGTGAATTAAACTTTGTTTTGTAATTTCTGGTGTAATGGTAGGTTAAATACCGGGAGTAATAGTGGGAGAGAAGAGGTAGGTCCCAGCCAGGCCTTGTGGTCAGCCTCACCGACCATCACAGTGTGTGGTGGTGCTTCACTCAGGCCTTCACACACCTCTATGTCTCGTGTCCTCTACACTTTAACCACGGCTCTTATACAAGTGTTGTAGAAAAACAAGAGGAAATTGTGTGAGGCTGAGGCCGAGAATGGCCTTGGAATGTGGCGGACGTGTGTGAGTGTCTTTGTTAGACCCTTAAGGTGGTCATTGTCTTAGTGGCTGCTGCTGCTCTGCCAGGGCCTCCTCTAGGATATATATATATATACAGTGTGCCTGGGGTGACCTGGTGCTTGAGCAAGTAGTGGAGGAGGAGGAATGGTTCTAATGGTGAGTGGAGTGACAATTGTCTTGTTACCTGGCAGTTTGTGTGATGACAATTTGTGTAATTAATATTCACTGCTGTTGTCAAGAGTGCAGAGGAGTGTTTTATCTATATTTGTAATTCTTGGTAAGGGGGGTCTAGGTAGATGAAAGCTTAATTAAAAACGTTTGCAGTCCCAGATTGTCTTGAATTATTTTCAAAGGAGTTTTACATCTTGTGATCAAGCTATTCCTAAAATAGGGGTCTAAGGCCTCGGCAAATTTTCACTACCCTATGCAATCGCCACTCTTTAATTAAACCTAACCCAACCTAACCTCTCCTAACCTAATCAAAAGTTGTGTAATGTCACTGACAATATTATTGTGGCTCAAGTTTTAGATTCTACTGCATTTTTGATCCCGTTTTGTCTTTGTAATCTTTTCCATTACTGCCACGGGATAGGTATGGGGTGTACTATCGCCACAGGATAGATACGGGGTGCACTACTGCCCACAGAAATGGTACGAGATGCACTACTGCCCACAGGATGGGTACAGAGTGCACTACTGCCCATGGGATGGGTATGATGTGCATTACCACCCATGGGACGGGTATGGGTGCATTACCACCCACGGGACAGGTACAGGGTACACTACCGCCTTTATGCTTAACAAAATTGAGTCTCATTGGACTAAAGTGTTATTAGGTTTATTGGAGAACTTGTATGTTTCAAGAGAAGAAATTCTGTAACGATTACAAAATGGTTGGTGTCTGTGCACTACAGTACCCACGGTTATGTATTGACCAATTGTGGGCATCCAGAGTTTTGTTGCTGCTGATGCTGGGTATATGTAAGGGAATTTTAAAAGTACAGTATATCCATGTGTGTGTGTGTGTGTGTGTGTGTAATTACCTAAGTGTAGTTATAGGACGAGAGCTATGCTCGTGGTGTCCCGTCTACCCAGCGCACTTAGTCATATAACGCTTTGAAATTACTGACGGATTTTGTCTCCACCACCTTCTCACCTAACTTGTTTCAACCGTCTACCACTGTTTGCGAAAGTGAATTTTCTTATATTTCTGCGGCAGCTTTGTTTATTTAGTTTAAATATATGATCGCTTGTTCTTGACGTTACAGGTCTCTGGAAATCTTCCCTATCAATTTTATCGATTCCTGGTACAGTACTATTTTGTTTGTAGTGATCATATTGCCTCTTTTTCCTCTATCTTCTAGTTTTGGCATATTTAATGCCTCTAACCTCTTCTCGTAGCTCTTGTCCTTCAATTCTGGGAGCCACTCTGTGGCATGTCTTTGCACCTTTTCGAGTTTGTTAATATGTTTCTTAAGATATGGGCACCATACAACCGCTGCATATTCCAGCTTTGGTGTAACAAAAGTCACGAACAATTTCTTGAATATTTCACTATCCATGTATTTAAAAGCAGTTCTGAAGTTAGAAAGTTTAGCTTTGGCTCCTTGCACAATGATCTTTATGTGGTCTTCCTCTTAGAAACTTTCCTAGTTTCTCATTCGAAGGGTGAAAGAAAATGTCCAGAGATGTATGTAAAAGTATACAGTATTGTACTTGCCAGTTTGGATGCAGTACAACATATTCAGTGAAGAAATTATATGAATATCAGGCTACACTGACAGGCTACTTTAAATTTACCTAGATGTACTTCTCGAAATTGTACAAATAGGCTAGTGTACTGTACTGTACTTGATACATCTACACAATGTACACTGCTGCCTCTCAATGTAGTGAGACACTGCATTATGGCACAAAAGGTAAACTAAAACATGAACAAAAAGAAACTACTTTTGAAAATGCTAAAAAAAATTTTTAAGTGGAAAATCGCCTAATACTCTACTCTATAGTAATGTTTATGAAAAGTGAAGGAAACTTAGAGACTGCAAGGAGCAAGTAGACCCTGATGGTAATTCTGCATCAGGCATCAGGTGGCATGGCACCAATTTCTTACTGTAGCCAATACATGTTGGTTGACTACATGCTAAATATAGTTTTAGCTAGTAGCCAGTGAATGCAACAAGGAATGTCACACACTATTTATTTACAGGGACCAGAATGAATATACAGTAGATGAATTAATTGTAAATGTCTCTCAAGTTGAAATAATTATAGGGCTGCTTGGCATTTGAAAGTAGGCTCTTTAAACAAAATTATGGTAGTTGCCAATCCATCTGTTTAGCATTTTCAGCACCTCTATTAAGCTCAAATGATTATTCTGTTTTACCTAATTGGTGAATATTTGATGGCATCGTAATTGCAAGTAGAAACTAACTTCTCTTCATGCAGACGACGAGTCACAATACTGTGGCTGAAGATATGATGACCAATCCACACATCAAAAGATGGAGAAATGACCATGTTTTGAGTTCGTAGATGTGTGGCTTGGTCATCATAATTTGTCTTCATCTTTTCCAGATTTCTGTCTAGATATGGTAAAGTTTGGCAGAAAGTTTTCCAGACTTGATTTTGAATCTTGGTCTGCACTATTTGGCCAAACCTCCAGGTATGGCAAAATTTTCCCAGAAAAATATCTGGACGCAATTTTGGCCAGATAACCCACATATCCACTTTAGCAGAATTTGGATAAGAGTGCATACAGTATTTATACTGTATATTTCAAGTGTTTCTGACAATTTTAGTTGTGGTAATTATAGAATTTTTTAAAATACTATTGCAAATGATGCATTTAAAAGTTATAAAATTAGTTACTTGTAAATGTAGTTGAGCTGAATACCAATGTTTAACTTTTGATTATTTGTTTCAGCTGTCCAGTGGGCGAGGCTACACACTTATGGAGCTACTTAAGGGCTCTGGCGAATTCTGCAAGGCACAATATCACATCAAATAAGCAAGAAGCAAGCCTGGTTCTTATGCTAATCTAAGTGTGCATTGTCTGAGTGTCAGTGTGAATAGTGGGAGACTGAACTTGGTGATGGGGTAAAGTGAAGGCCTGAAAATAAGCGGGTCCTCTGTGGCTGCGTTATCGTCTGCTATTGCTGCTGCCGTTGCTGCCGCCCTTCTGCTTTGTGGTGTCTTTGCCCTTAGTAGTAAAGGAGAGATCCCTGTCTTCGGCAGCACTTTCGGCAAAATCAAAATTGGGGATCACCACCATATCTGGTGGAGGAAGCTCAAGCTCCTGATTGTTGCCTCCCCTCAGACATCCCCCCCCCTCCCTACCAGTCCTTTCCTTCACTAGCTCCATCCTCTTAGGTTTTGTACCGTTCAGTTTTGATCCGTGAAGAGCCAAAGTGAGTGTGTTCTAATTGTGTGTATATATAGTGTGATTGTGGAACGGTGTATAAAATATCAGATTACAGCCTTTTTTTATAAATACGTATATACACACACACACATATATAATATATATATATATATATATATATAGAATATATATATATTTGTAATTATTGAGAAGAGATCTCACAGCTTCATCCCAAGTTTAGAGGTCTCCCAAGGTAGAAGGTTTCCAGCCTACCACTCAAGGTTATCATTCATCGCCATCTTTTCTTATCGTCACCTCAAACACCTGTACTTCCAATCTTTGGCTGAAAAATCCACAACTGCAAGAGTATATATTACTACTGGCACTTTTTTTTTTCGAGCGTTATGAGTGCAAATAGTGCAAATATGAGATCCAAGAGCATCAGACCCGCCCCTTCAGAAATTGAATACAAGAACATGCGCTTCCTCATCACAGATCGACCCACTGATGCAACCATGCAGAGCTATATTGAGGTTTGTTGATTAACTTGTTCAGTTTTTATAGTTTGAATTTAAGTTTTTATATACATGTATAATAGTTTTTATAGTTTGGATAGATGAGTAGATGGAGAGAGAGAGTAGATGGATGAATAAATGCACAGGTAGGTGGATGGATAGTAAGACAGATAGATGGATGCACATGTATGGATAGGTAAATGGGTAGATGGATGGATATGTATGGAAAGATGAGTAGATGACAGATGGATGGATATGTATGGAAAGATGAGTAGATGATAGATGGATGGTGGATGACAGATGTCCCTACTTTGACCCCACTGCTGGCTGTGATGTTAGTCTATTAGGTATTCTTTGTCAGTCACTTATCTGTAATCTTCCCCCAAGGTGGTAGTTGGTAGAATTTTCTCCCAAGAGGATTTTGTGGTAGTCGGGTGCACGGGCATGGAAGGGGATGTTTTCCCCCGCATCCTCAAGTTAGCTTTGATAATGTCTCCTGAGGTGCACCTCTTTATTTACGTTTTCTGGATAATCATGGCACTGTGATTGTTAACCACTGAATGGAATGAGCCTTCCAAGCTCTGTTCAACGTGCCAACTATACACCCATAAAGAGGTTACATTCAAGAAGTAGTTAAGAGGTATTCTAAATATTAAAAATGCCACCGCTAACATCATGCTACCTTTCATATTAGTAGCCAGTCTTAATGCCCGGTGGTTCTGAGGTAAAAGAAATTACACACGATGTGGACAATGCAGATGTCCAGCCATAGGGGTAGCGATCTCCATGAAAGTGTAACCAAAGTGGAAAAAGACCACCAAAGAATAAAATCCATGGGAGTAATGTCGGATCTTAACACTTGGTGATTCGAAAGGAACTAGTCAAATATTAGTGTGAGCTCTGATGGACACCTGTGTCCTATTCGGGTGTCTATTAATCTTACTGTAAGGGTGCCAATTTTGGAGGAAATTGGTTGATGTCAACCTCAGCCACAGGTGGCAAAATCTTTGACTAATATTTTGTCAAGTATTGTATTTACATTGAAACCTGCACCTTATATGTAGAGTTTCTCTCTACAATTGATCCAAGACTTTTTTTTTTTTTTTTCCTTTTTAGACTGCGATACTGAAACTTGGAACAGTTGCAGCCCTTTTCATATACATCTAGTCAAAAAAGTTTGCTTGACATTGAACAACTTTTAATATCCTGTGTGATGGCCCCTTAACATTTGTATATTCATTGCTGTCACACACAATATTTTATAATACACTATTGTTTTTGCATTTATTCACTTCAAAAATTCATTTGCAAACATTTTGACATAAAACTTGTAGTTATAGCCGAACAAATAATTGAGAAAACTTAACACGATTGTAAATATTTTAAGCATCGCTGAGCAGGACCCACCCAACGAGCCAAGGAGCCAAGTTTACATTTGGAAAAACACGGAGAGAACCAAAATCTATTACAATTACTGTACTCTTGTTGTTTTTATGTATTTTCTAGACAATTTTCAAACCTTTGATACCAAATTCATTGTTATAGCCCAAGAAATAACTTAGAAAACAGAAAACAATTGTAAGCATTTTTCTCGTTGTCGAGTGGCCCAGAGAGCCCGGAATGTTTAGTCAGGAATGTGCGGAGAAGCCAAATAGTCAGTGTTAATATTGGTATATATGCTGTTCTTATTGATCAAGATTTCCATGTTTAACAGGAATTGGTGAAGCATGGTGTACATGATGTGGTCAGAGTTTGTGAGCCAACATACAAAACTGATGAACTCAAGAAGGCGGGAATATCTGTAATGGACTTGGTGTTTGATGATGGGACATTCCCTCCTGCAGAGGTAAGGAATGCATCTTAAAATGAAATGAACATAGACAGGCAGCCCTCAGTTTTGTGTTAGGATTCATTTCCAGTAAAATTTTTGCAAGCTGGAACTACACAAATCAAACTTAAGTATACATTATGTAGATGTAACCTTTTAATCTTTACAGTTTTTGAAGTTTATGACTTGGAAAAATTGGTTTAAAATAAATATTTGTTGCCCCCCCTCCGTGTTCCAGCTATAGATACAGTATATAATAAAGTTTAGAAAGCTAGGCGTGTAATAGTGTAATCTGTGGTAATTTTTAACCTAATTGATGGGGTGCATGTCTGACCCACTGGGTTTTAATGACCATGGTAGTCCATAGTAATTATGGTACAGAATCCTCGGTACTTTGACACTTTGTAAGAGTGAATAACCTGTGCACCACTGAATTAGTTATCTCCAATACCATAGAAATTTAATGTTGCATTATTCAAATAGATGGTAAGGGTTATCATTATTTTTTGTTTTAATTGTCACCCTTTATATATTCATGTTAAAACAGTTGTCCTGGAGAACACGTGGGACAACCCCAATGTAACATGACACTGGATTATGATGTAGATAAAACTTTCAAGAAGTTTAAAAATATCCAGTGAAAATTCTTGTGAACAGTGGTATTGTGTATAGTTGAAACTTTTATATTAGTAAAACTCCTTTAAATGGATAAAAACTACCTTAATAATAACTAGAATAGTGTGTGCTGAAACTTGACATATTTTGGTTAATTTCTTGCTAGGTATTAAAACTACAGTCTAGATGCACAATTACCACCCATTGTCATTCTCAGTCTGTTACCACTTTACTATTCAGATCACATTACAATTACAGTGCAGTACTTTTTCCTAATTCATAACTACAAATGTAAATTTAATGTTTTAGATTAGATTTATAGATTTTTTATTTTTTTATTTTTCTTTTAAATTTCAGATTGTTGAGGAATGGCTGGGGCTGTTGAGACTCCGTCACCGTGAAGACCCTGGGTGTACCGTAGCTGTTCACTGCGTGGCTGGTCTTGGTCGTGCTCCTGTGCTAGTTGCCATTGCACTCATTGAGCTTGGACAACGATACGAGGATGCTGTTGAACTTATTAGGCAGTGAGTTATTTTTCCATAACTGTTATGCATAGTATAGTGCTGTAATTTAGGAAGTGTTTTTACTTATAGAGGATGTCTTTCTTTCCAAACTGTTGTTACTCATTTTCAGTCCAAACTGCTTCCACACCTACCCTTCCCTCATGAGTATTCAACTCAAGAGATGGTACACTTAGTAAGGCAGCCAACCAAGTCACCACCGGGCTGAGTGTGTGTTGCTTTGACCCAGTGTGTTGTGAATTAGTTTCTCATTCATAGCATATATATTGATGGTGAACATTACTCGCATATTATAGAGCCTTCTCTACTGGGACTGCTTCGTTCCTCCAGCCTCATTTTTAATTTATCTCTTTAGGAAGTTCTTCATCCATGATATTTGCACCCCCATGCCACCCCCAGTTCCTATTTCCAGAACACTTGAATGATACTATTTAGATCTAGATACACTCAGGGTTTTTTCCTGTCTGCTCTATCATCTTCTGATGATCATAAAGTTGTCTTTATCATAAAGCTAGGTAAATTTGTTACTTGTGACCTTCCATTGGAAATAAACCCTTCGGCCTATCTATTATTATGAAATTCAAAGATATTCTACCCATTTACCCAACTTCAATTTTTTCTCTGTGATTTGGCTACTATGCTTGTACAAAACTGGTCCAGTTTATTGGGTCTATTGTATGTTTTTATGAATTGGAAATGTTTACCTTCTTCCATGCCTGTAAAGATGCCTGGAAAAAAATCTACAGTGGGTTGCTGGACTCGTGAGAATATTCTCTCAGGACCAGAAGTGAAACTTCATCTGGTCTGCCTTTTTTTCTGCCTAAATTCCTGAGTAGTTTGGCGGTTACACTGCCTTTAGAAACACCTAGGTGCGGTTAATTTTTGTTATATAGGCACTTTGAAACTGTTCATTTAGGGGAAATTGTTGAAATAGAGGGAATACAGAGAACAAATATGGCATACATAGACGCGATAAAGCACCTAAATTATTGGGATCGTCTCAAAGCTCTCCAAATGTTCTCACTAGAAAGGAGACGAGAGAGATATCAAATAGTATACACATGGAAAATACTGGTTGGCCAGGTACCAAATCTACGCAGTAAAATAACAACATACTGGAGTGAACAATAAGGAAGAAAATGCAGAATAGAACCAGTGAAGAGTAGGGGTGCCATACACAATCAAAGAACACTATAAACATCAGAGGTCCACGTTTGTTCAACATACTCCCAGCAAGTATAAGACACATTGCCAGAACAATCGTGGGCATTTTCAAGAGAAAACTAGATAGTTTTCTTCAAGAAGCGCCAGACCAACCAGGCTGTGGTGAATGTGGACCTGCGGACCGCTACAAGCGGCCCGCAGGTTTTCTTCCATAACAGCCTGTTCGACCAAGCTCTTATAAGTCAAGCCTGGCCCTGGCTTGGGGAGTAAAACAACTAGAACACCATCAAGCAGGGATTTACATACTGTACCTATATTTGTTTCTCTGTGAATATTCCCATTCTTTGTTTTATCCTTTGTGTGCTCTTTATTTTCTTAAGATTTTCTCCCTTACTGCAATATAGTGGTTTACTACATAATACTGGTTTGTATTAATTTGTATTATGTATGTAATATTATTGTATTATGTATACATGAGTGGGGGGTTGTCTTATTTTGGTGTCATTTTATTGGGGGGGTATTACTCAAAATTTCTGTTGACTCTGTTTTCTTAACAAGATCTATGCCTCTTTTTTGCAGTTAATTTTTGAGTACCAGTGTTATAAATTAGGCAAAATTTTGCATAAATCTTTTTTATAGCTGTGCCTATCGATAAAACTTTCCAATCATGTCCATTAAAGAATTCTAAATTTCCTGTACCATAATGTTTTGTCCCATTTCCAATATTGGTAGGACATGAGTCACCTTGCATAATGAAGGCAATATTGTAAGTTAAGCATCTTCCTTTTTATTGGGCATAAGAAATCCAGCAATATTAAGCATGCTCTTCCCATACACAAGTGGTCTACTCAACATGCTGATGTGTTAATATCCAAATTTGCCATTTCATAATTTTCCAGTTTTGCCTCTTAACTCTCAACAAGCAGCATCTCTGCCCATGTGCAAAAAATACAAAAATAAACAAAATATTTTGTAACTATAGAATAACTAATTTGGATATAAAGTGTGAGGAAAAGAGTAAAGTAAATATCTACATATTTGCTGGTTTTGTAGAAGGTTGATGGCTGACTTGCCAGTCGGATCTTTCAACACCAAATTTCAGGTTTTACTGAAACAACAGCGTGTGGCAGAGGAATCCAGTGATGACCATGGATGTTTCTAAATCATTTCTTCACTTTTTAGTTCATTTACTATAGTATTTTTGTTGAATAACTAGATTTATGTGAATGTTGTTTACAAAAACATGGATTGAGTACTGTACATTACTGACTATAAGGTTAATGTATTTAGGGCTGCAGTGAAATAAGGAAATTGCAGAAAGCCTATTGGTCCAGACGAGGCAGCTCCTATTTACATCCACTCAAACTCATTCCTATGAATGAGTTTGGGTGGATATAAATGGGAACTGCTGTATATGGGCCAAGAGGCCTTTTGCAGTTCCTTTATCATGTTCAAATAATGATTCGTTGACTTGGTATACTTCATTACAGCCATGTAGAGCTGTGACAGCCATATGAACAAAACTGGTATGCATATCATGTAATTATAATGGAATTTTATATTTGACTATTGATCTAATATGAAATTATTAATTAGTATTACTTTCATATTAGTCACTCGATATCATCACTTGCTTGATCCTTATCTGCAAGTTTAGTTCTTTCTCATGTGTGGTTTAGTGTCCCTTTTGTGTTTGTTACCTAATTGAAGGCAGGAGCCATTTATGATCACTAGTAGTCTTGAGGGTAATATTATTGGTTCTTTAATACCTAAATGTTCTTTTACTAGGACTGTGACTCCACTTTTTATCTATCTTGTCTGCCAAATTGAATAACGTCAGTTATAACTCTCCTGGAGATCTTGAAAACTAAATCCCATTTGAGTGGAATTAAACTATATAATCAAATATATTTAATTCTTGACAACTTTGGTGTTTTCTAATTTTTTACATTTTCTTTTTTTCAGGAAAAGACGAGGAGCCATTAATGCTAAACAGCTGGCTTATCTGGAGAAGTACCGTCCCAAGTCTCGACTTCGGCTAAAGAATGGCCAAAAGACTGGTGCGTGCTGTGTTCAGTAAAATTACGAGAGGTATTGACAAATGCTCGGATACTTGAGTTCTGTTAAGTTGGTTGCCATATTGATAAATTAGTAATGAATTTTTGTCTTAACCATGTTGGTATAGTTTGCAATGAACTTATTGTACCTTCATTATACCTTTCATTTTCACAAATGGAGTGTTTGGTATATTTTATCTTAGGTTATCCAGTCAAAATTTAACAGGGCACTTATTTTAAAAATACAAATATTGTATGATTGAAGTAATAATAGCAGGATATAATATCATACATATATATATAATATATACATATATATATATATATATATGTATATATTATATATAATATACATGTGGCTCATTTTCTAAAACTAAATGTTAAGGAAATGGCCGTGAGAAAGCGTGACAGGTTTGGAGTTGTCAGTAATTTCTAGCATGTATTAAGAACCTCCTTGTTCCAGATTAAAGTAACATCAACAGATGCGTATACTTAACCCCCACAATTCTGAAGTAAGGCTCCTGTCTACTAATCCAATACTTTAAATTAATGAAGTTGTAAATTTAGTTAAGTGATAAATATGTGCAGGAAATATGCCTTTTGGCCATGTTACCATGACTACTGTACTTGAAATACTCTGCTTTTGTTGTGGTAGCACGGGGGGAGAGGGTGGGCGATATCTTAGGTGTTGAGGCCGCCTTGACTATCAATAGCAAGAGACTGATCGTGAAACTCATAGGAATATCAGAACTAAATGAAAGTCAATCTTTGTGGCACAAGAAAATGTGTTAGCAGTCCCTTGTTAATTGTCCTCGGTTTATTTTGGAATTAGAAGAAAAAAGTAAGTTTTAGTCAGGCTTTAGCAATGTTTAGTCCTATGGCATGATATGATGAAACAAAAAGTAAATGTTGTGGAAACATGGCATTGCTAACCCAGTCAGGTTGGTTCTGGCAAGACGTGTAGGCCTTGACAAGTACGGCTGTTAGCACATATCATGCCCTGACCCCCTTTGTTCCTCTACTCCAGCTGCAGAAGGTGTCTTCAGACTTTGCATAATTAATTTAAGAATGCAATTTTTATATATTATTATGTACTTATTAGGAGGAAGGTAGTTGTGCAGGATTTTTTAAAATTATGAATTAATCATGAAATATGAACTTGCATGGCAGGCCAGCCTGTGTAATTTACAGGCATCATAGATCCTCATGACCATTCTTGAACTGACTTTTGGCATGTTATCATAACAAGAATAACAATTATCATTTGATTGGGCATTTTACATGGTGTAACTAAAACTCAAATGTTGGACATTTTCAAGTAAAATAGTACATTGAATGCAGTGCATTCCATAACTTGCTCATAAATTTAGTTTGTTACAAATTTGAGTCCATTTTTAACTTTAAATTTTAAAAATCCAAATTAGAGGACATTGACAGTTTGACAAGGATATTTGATCAGATCCGTATTTTATAATCTTATTTTTAATCCTTTAAGGAATAATTGTGTTCATGTCAATATTTACCTCTTATTTGGACCCTAGAACTTTAAATACATTTAGTGTATGAAAATGTTGGTTTAAAATATATGAAGTTTTACAAAGTATGTCCTTAAAACAGAACCACTGGGCACCATAGCACTAACTCAGTGGAATAAGGTTGTGCATAAAATCCTATGAATTCAGCCCTTGTGAGCAGTTACCACTGACTTGCCTCAGCCCTTCATGTTAAGCATCCTATGCAGCTGAAGATTGTTTTTTATGAATGTAAGTTTTTTCAGAACTTATGTGTGAGGAATAAGTGAATATTGACTGTGGATCAGTGTGTTTCAGGGAGTCTGTCTTGGCATCTTCCAATCTCCGGTGCTGTTTTATCTGGTAGACTGGTTGAGTGGTTAGCATTAACTTGTAGACCATGGTTGAGTGGTTATCAGCTGGTAGACTGTGGTTGAGTGGTCAACACCACCTAGTAGACCATGGTCAAGTGGTTATCAACTATTCCTTAACCTTGAACTCTTACTATTTTCCTCCTCCCCCCACCCCTACCACTGGCCACTTGATATATAATTGTTCTAAATTAATTTCTTTTCTAATGAAACCAAAATTTGCATTATTAATACATTTTTAGCACTTTAAAGTTGTCCTCAGTCTTGTCATTTCACTTCAGATGTATAAACTATTAAACAAATTTGTTCATGTATTAAGTGTCATCAATCAATGAACACCTAAAGTGAGGTCTTCTATATCTTGTGTGTTGTCTTTCAAGTCAGCTGGGTAGATTGTACCACGGAACTCCATCCTTTTGAGAGATTTGTATAATTAATTGAACTTTTAACAATGTAAGGTTTAGTTTTCAAATTTCTTAATTCATCTGCAAAGTTTCATTTCTCATTCACTGTCTTGTGGAATAAAAGGTAGCTTCTATAGAGTAATTTAGTATGATATTAAGGGCCTTCATAATCAAATTCTTGGTAAAAAACAATTGGATGCTAGAAATCATAAATTGAATCTTATATTACTTTACAGTATGCCCAGATTGACTTGACCTGCCTCAGCTCTGTAGTTATGTAGGTATACATGGCTGTGAACCTATGCCATACTTTGCAAGCCACAAACTCCCTACCCTCTTTTCTAAGGAGTGCATGGAAGATCTGCCAATCTTAAGTCTGAATGTTGTAGTGCTTTGAAACATCTACAGTCAAACCTTGTTTCTTCCAGCCTCAGGTAATAATAAAATAGGAAAAACAAATTCTAAGGCATATTATCACAGATGAACTCGTCAGGGGATTTAAAGCTGGTAAAGCTAAAAAAAAAAAAAAATTTGGGTTGAATGAACAAGGTGTGTATGTTTCTTGTATGCCAGAGCCAGAGGTACAGCATCTTCATGCCTGGCTGGTGCACAAGTTTGAGATAGTGGCATATTGCACTAGTGCCAAGAGCATTATTTTATTACTGGCCTCTTGGCTTTGGCATTTGAAGGATGCGATGATAGAAAAACAAGTTCTTCGGCAGATGTTTACTTTTATGAAGTCAAAATGTATGCAAGGAATTTGCCATTTCTTCATCAATTCCTTCAGTCAGTCATCCATGGTGATCACATGTGATGAAGATGGGAACAAATTTTTAAGGTAAACTTTTGAATGTTCGTAAGTATTGTGCATATGGCTGAGAAAGCTACAACCCATTGAATTGGGGCACCTAGAGTAGGACTTACACCAATAATGGGATGTTTAGATCTGTGATGGATTTTAAAAATTCTTGCACAGGATATGGTTTAGTAGTAACAACTTCCCATACTGCTTTTGAGGCCGACGGGAAACTTTGGATCTGATAATTAATGAAGTTTGCATTGTTGAGCAGACTTGTTCGTGCAAGTATAGCATCCCATTTTTTGTGTAAATCCTTCCTTGTAGAAGAGACAAGGTGCTAAATGCACCCAACAGTAGAAAGTAACCAAAACCATTTTAGTCATTCGGACATTCTGTTGCATCTTGCCTAAAGTGTACGGTGTTTGGTTATGTACATAATTATAGTTATTTGTGTTAAGTTTGTAAAATTCACTCGAGCAGAAGACAAATAGATGTATTAAGTTTGCCAAATTATCTTGAGATTTTAACATGGCCCCATATTTTCTATATGTGTATTTTAAGATCTAATGTCTAGTAATTTGGATTTGCTGCTCTTCACTTTTCTAACTTTACTAGGTTGCACAAAAAAATGGCCTCCTTAAAATCAGGTTAGCTTTTTACCTTCCATAACAGTTTTGAGGAGCAGCAGTCTTGGCTGAAAGAGGACATGTGGAATGTACATTCCTGCAGCGGTATCTAGATAATGCATGCGAAGCTGGTAGAGTTCTTACCTACTTGCTAATAGTTGATCATTGAACTTGGCCACAGGAATGAAATGTTTTTTCACTCAAGATTATCATAAGCACTCCCAATAATTCTCAAAATTATAGGCCTAGAACAAGATAAATTAATTTTTCTTTAGAACATTTGTATTTACACTTAACAGCTATGGTGCCTATTTTTATTTGTTAAAAGGCCTGCCTTGCATTTTATGTATTAAATTCTATAAGTTCTGTTTAAGAATTTTATACTGTATTGCAATATATTTGAATTTATATTTATACCATGCTGATTGTCTTAAATTATTTTATTTGTAACGAGATCGTCAGTGGTTTGTGATCTTTGTGCAATAAGGGTTTTTTCTAGATGAGGAAAAACTCCCTTACTTAAATCGAAACCAATAGCCACTAACAGGCCTCGTTGCATACTCTGCTTTCCTGCATCAGTCCCACCTTTTTCCTTCCCTCCCGAGACAGTTTCCTGGTCAAGCCCTCAGATTTGGCCACGCGTGTTTAGTGGCCAGCTCGTCATTGTTGCATTGGTGGCCCATGCGTTGTAGTTGCACTAGGTGGCCCATGTGTCATTGCATGAGGCTCCTGGTAGCACAGCTGTGGCATAATTTCTGTGAAGCCCTTGTGGAGCTTGCCAGGCCACACACAGCCTTTGTAAGTGTCTGTATTTTTGGCTAACGATAGCAGTGTGAACTTGTTCATAATAAAATAATGGTTTTTTGGTAAAAAACGAACTTTTATTTCCTCTTCGTATTGCAAGTTTAATAACCCGTGCCTATTAAAATTATTTGGGCAGTTTCCCAATTAAATATTTAATGGGTTTTGAATTCCCATTATCTAAAAAATAGAAAATGTTTCAGTATCCCAGTTATGTTAAATACCCCTCAAGAATATTGCAATCTGTCTTGCTACAGATGCATTCCTCCTTGCCCTCCTGCCAAATCTTTACCTTCATACCTTTTCCCATTTCTAGATATTGTCACATCAGAGCTGTGTGAATGGCAACTTTATATGAAAAATTTGTTCCTTGCACAATCAAATTAAGAAACTCGTAGAAACTCGTACACGTATTTTGAAATATTAAAATGTTATTGATTTTAAAATGCTGTATAGACATTTAAAACCCTACGTGAAGCACTAAATCTGTGGGAGGAGACAAGCGTCCTCGATATAATGAATATTCTGCTTGCCAAGAAAATAATTACAGCAATGAATAACTTCTAGGCACAGTTAAGTGTACTAATGCATTCTATTAATGCTAGAAAAGGTAAACATGGCTGCTAAAATGGTATATGTTCCCTGATTAGTAAGCTACTCAAAACTTTAACTTCTGTCTGTACAGCAACTGCCTTACTTCTTGCAGGGGTCTCCCTCAAGAGTTTCACCGTGTAGTGATGAGGGGGCTCACACTACACCGGCTCCCTTGGGCCAGTGAGGAGTTGCCTTAGCCCCTTCTCTCTGTGTTGAACATGCAAAGAAACCTACGTATGGTTCCTATTCTGGTCATTAGACCACCTGAGGGAGGGGTCACCCTTGGAGGTAGGTTTGGGTGTCTAGGCTTGGGCAAGAGAAAGGAGGTCCTTACACTGGTGTTGGATAATTTACCCATGTTGAAAAACCTAGTAATGAAGGTAATAACATGCCTTTTCCTGGGCAGCTCCCTACTATTATGTCATCAGCTATGAAGTTCTGTTTGGACTATCTGAGACCAGAGCCAAAACCTGGCCCCACCTCTTGCAGAGCAGGTAACAATTTGGTACCCCTCCAGGAAAGTCTGAACCAGTACAGACCACTGCTGGGTTTAGAGACCAAAGCTTCAAAACTGCCAAGTGAACTCAACCTAAATAATGTAAACGAATGATTGAAAATCTTGAAACTAGTGCAAACTTATTAGCATTCCCCGACCAAGTTGGGGAGCCAGAACTCCAAGTCTTCCAAGACAGTTCTGGAACAGATGTGAAGAGCGATCCACTGACAAACATGGTAGGGAGGGAGGGGGATCAGGGAGCCACCAGGGATCATCCAGAAAGAGGTTGTTGTTTGATTCAACTACTCTGAACAAAAAGTTCAAAGTAGCAGAGACTATGGTGAGCCTGTAGTGGTCTTGCCTGGCACAGGAGCAGGGTTGAATGTGCAGAAGAGGCATTTCATTACATTCAATGCTGGTTTTCTTGGAGAGCCGCTTGTGACTCCTTAAAGTTACCTATGGAGAAAGGGCAATTACAGGCAAGATTGCAGGCAATCAATAAGAGATGGCCCAAAGCGACACAGACATGAGACATTAACTACATACTGGGCCACCAGGACTCTCTGTGCCAAAATCCTCATACCTAAATATCAGCCAAGGACATGTTAGCAAAGATCACGGCTAGAGCAGCAATATTTACGAACATCATGGGGACAATAGTAGACTGCAAGCTGGCTAAACTTACGACACTCTGGATGACTGATAAACACAAAGCATCCACAGAGGCAGGAAGGTAGTGGTGAAGAGCTGCCACCGGGCTCAGCACATGATGCAACACTGACCAAACTAATCAAGCATCAATGCCCAAAGGACCCCCTCTAGAAGCTCACTTGACTCATTCTTTGCCTAAAAAGGAGATAGCTACAAGAGACCATAACACCCCCCCAGGACCAAAAGAACAAAAACCATTCCTCTGGGGAACATGAAACTCACCAACCCTACAACCAGAAGCATGTGCCAAAAAAAAAACTTTGAAAAAGAATTGCAAACGGAAGGGAAAACTAATCCTAAAAGAAAGGTGAAGACAATCAAGAGACCAAGAGGGCTCAGGCAGCACATGACAAGACTGGATGTGAAACAATACACAAGTCAGCTTCCAAAACAGTGCCAAGATAGCATCAATGCTGAATACAAGCAGTAGTAGCTTCACTAATGTTGCATAAGAGGCAACAATATTTGGCACAAGATGCCAGTCAAGAAACAACCAAGACAGGAACGAAAACATCACCCTAATTGAGTCTGCTACTGGGAAGATGAATGCAGGCGGGACACCAAATCAGTTCCAATGCTTGTCATATAGATGGTGATAAATATGTGTCAGAAAGACCATATGCAAAGAGCTGAGAAGTTCAAACAAACGAAATACATCACCGGGATGATCTTCTGAAAGAGGCAGAGCCATGGGAAAAACGTTTGGGTTCAGACACTGTACAATCATCTGAAACCAAGGCTGAGCCAGCCACCAAGGAGCCACAACCACTACCTTGTCCTAGTAGGATTAACTGGGCCAGCACCCAGAACAACAGCTGGATTTGGGTAAGTGGTAAAGAACACCCACTGCAACCAGTCCAGCCAATAGTATCTACTGTGAGGGCCTTGCGATCTGGGAATCAAGTCACAGAGAGGAAGGCATCAATTCCAAGCCAACACAGATCTATTTTCGAGCATCTGAACATACCACAAAGCCAGCGGAAAGAGGCAGCATCGACAGTCCTCTCCTTGGAGATGGGAAGGAAGCGAGAGACTGAAAACAACCGGCACTTCCCAGACGTGAACAGTTTGGAGAACCAAACCCAGAAAATCCAGCAGGTGAGCTGTGCACTACCCCTGGTTCAGGCAATGAATCACTGGGAAACAGTCCGAATGGAGCTTGGAGAAATCAGAATCCCCTTCAGAGCATGCCACGTGACCACAAACTCGCGCACCATACTGTGCGAAACAGACCCTGGCCAGTTTGGCGAGTGCTGGTCATAAACCACTAGAACAGAGCTGATGCATCTGAAAACTTGTCGAGCAACATCAGAGGAAGGCACCAAGGAAGCTGACAATGCAGCAGCTGAAGGGTGATTGGGGCCCAATCCTGCACAGCTGCTCAATATAACACACAGTCGTTCAGGGCTGCCTCTACATCAGAAAGGCGCTGCAATGCAGCCAGAGCAAAGGAAAACAACACTAACCGAAAGTTCTACACAAGGCCCAGCCAAGTTCAAACCGCAGTCAAAAGCAACTGGGACTTCATTCAGTTGCAGGTTATGAGTCACAATAATGTGGCTGAAGTATGTTGACCAGACCACACACTAGAAAGTGAAGTGACGACGACATTTCGGTCCGTCCTGGACCACAACCGACTCGAGAATGGTCCAGAACAAACTGAAACATCATCGTCCCTTCACTTTCTAGTGTGTGGTCTGGTCTTCATTCAATTCATCAGGAACCTGAACCCGGCAAGCTGGGAGAGAACCAGATACCGGGCTAGTAGACACAAGACTGACTTGGAGACCCACACCAGTCAGTCATGAAGTAGGCCATAACATGAATTCGCAGAAAACAGAGACCACCATGACCGGAGCCAATCTGATTAACACATGTGAAGCCAGATTCGAGCCAAAAGGAAGGATGCTAAAGTGGGATGCTTGGTTCTGCATGAAGAAACCTAATCAATCTCTGAACCTCAGATGTATGGGGACATGCCAATAAGCATCTATAGGTCCAGAGACCATCCAGGTCCAGGCCTATGAACACAAGGCAAACCTGGGCAAGAGTGGTCATGCTGAAAGTGGGGAAGGGGGACAAATGCTTTCAACCCCAAAAGATCAAGGATGAAGTGGAGCTCTACCAAGGCCCATTTCAGAACTGGGAAAAGATGAGACACCCAACAAAGAGATGAAGTCGTTTTAATCACGACAGACACCACCCACTCCACAGTGACCCGATGGAGGCAAGGGTCAAGGGTCAATCCTACCAAACCAACTCCAAAAGCGAGGACAAGAGCCCTGAGAACACAATAAATGGGAAATTGACCAGCAAACAGTTACCACTAAGAATAAGAGCCGAGCTCAGGGAAGAGAAGCACAGCACACATAATAAATATAATTTTATTATAAAAAAAAGGGGCATTAATTTTGTACATTAATAAAATCATGTTACCTATCCCCTAAATATATCAGATGGTATTTTTTTTTTTTTTTGCTTTTAGTGAAACTGTTTACTTTTAAAATGTATAAAATTGCTAAGCACAAATGCAAGCAAGAGAGAAGAGACCCACCAACATACTTTTATTACATCATCCCGGACGTAGGGTTGAACCCTCATCACTGTCCTTGTAGATTTGTTCATACCTCAACAAAAACAAGATTTCACCCTAAGAGTGAACTATCAAAGACCAAATGACAATTACTAAATAAATTGTTTATATTTGTGCCAAAGTCATTCTTATAAAGCTCCTTACCCTAATTTGCTGTGACATATACATCAGACATAGATAATAGGTCATCATGTCTTGTTAATACATCACGTCAATTGTTTGTACCATTCTTTATATCACACAACATACTTTTCCAATTCTCAGGCTTTTCACCCTTTAGCTCTGGGAATAATAACCAAAATTTTAATCTGATCTTTACCTTTTTCATCAATGTGTTCACATCAAGATTTCCATTTGAAGCACTCACACTCTCTCTCAATTCCTCATTTTTTTTCAGTTTGGATTTCATGGATTTGACCATCATAATCCAGTCCTCCTCCCTCAGCAGTATTGAAATTCTATTACTGTCTTTCTTGCATCTTCTCTCTTTTTCCTGTTTTAGAAAACTACTCATATCTTCAATGCAATTAATTTTCTTTATTTTTTTATTGACACTCAGATAATGTCTAAAAAAAGTTGGAGTAATGTTGTTGTCTTCCATATTCAACTTGCAGTGGGGACCAATATTAGTCTTATTTTTCTTGTTGTTTGCTGGATCTACTGCCTCCCTCTTTCTTTTGAGCTTGGACGAATTCTTTTCTACACCGACATTCAAAAAATTATCAGTTCCAGAATTATTACACCTCACTACCATCATTCCTGGTTTACACATGCCTGAGCTATCGGTGACTTTCTTTCGTTTACTGGCATTGTTATTAACATTACTGGAACGCTTCATAATTTGGTTATCATCATTTATGCACACACCAATATCTTCAAGACACTCTAATGGGGCAGGAACCTTGACATTTTCTGCAAGTTTGACTTCCTTGTTTAAAAACCTTTCAGATTGTGTAGCTTTCCTTAAATCGTCCTTACTTTCTGACAGTTCATAGCAACAGAAATTTGTGTCAACATTTTTGTCTTCCTTTTTGAAGATGTTTAACTTGTGTGAAAAATTCATAACTTTGGGAGTATCCCTGTAAAAAAAAAAAAAAGAGATGTTAATTAATGAGAAACTCGGTAATCATTATTGATTATATACATAAAATATAGTTTTATTATGTTTGGTTGCTAATCACATTCCGCATTACCCAATTCTATTATGTTAAATAGTTTATCTCGTCCACTCTATTATACAGCTTTATAATGGTCCAAGATGGACAAAGATGACATCATTTCTTCATTTACTTATGTGTGGTTTGGATATGTTCACTAGCCACATACATACAAATATGAAGTGGTGCATATATAAAATTACTGTATTCTGTCAAATCTAATCCCTTTCCATATATTTATAATTTGTTTATATAAAAAAAGAGCATGAATTTACAGAAATATAATTCAGAATACTGTACCTGACTCAATACATATTATTGCAGTTACAGTGCAGTACTTACTCAGTAAGCATGGAATTGCTATTTTCATCTAATGAACTGGAATACTGCTGTAGACTGTCGGAAAGCTTTGAAGGCAGAGAACCTTTAATTGCTAAACAAGGTGTACTGCTACTTTTCAGGTGTTCTATCCAAGGAAAGATGTCATCATACACTTTTGCCAGTTGTCCCGACAAGTCAAGTGCAAGAGCCCTGCAAGTACGTGTGTGTGGTTTAACAACCATGATGAAGTAATCTACTTTGTGATAAAATCTGTTAATTACTTGACAGTACCTCAATAAATACATAAAGCCTTTTTTTGAGTCATTCTACAAATATGTAAGACTTATAGCATTAAACAACTTTTAGCCTTTATGTCATATCCCACTGAACAACACAGTGGGTCACAACCCCCTACCCACACACCAACATTTCTCAGCTAACTAACAAGGGCATTCCCCTCCCCAGTCTCTGAGAGATGCATCACATTACACACAAATCTTTCTGTCCACTTATGAATGTGTATCAAGGCTTCCACCATGTATGTGGGTGGGTGGTAGGCTCTAGTGGGTGCAGGTGGGTTGTGAATGGTGGGGTCTATTGGGGAAGGGAGTGTTATGGCAAAGTGTGTGATGACCAAGTGTTGTTGGGGTGGGGGAAAGGCATTATGTTCATGGAGAAGGGGCGTTATATTGATGGGGGAGGAGGATCTAGTTAATCATTCACTGATAATTCTAATATAGTAATTGCAAAGGAGCTTTTGTTCAGCAGATTAATCCACAGTCCAACACAAAAATGCTCAGTACATATTTCATATGGTATTATAATTAAATCTTACATGTCTTCAATGAAGTTCTACATATATTCACTTGTTATATATTGAACTGCATTCAGGAAACACTTATCAATTGTCAAATATAAATTTATGCTGGAATGAATTCATACCATAAATAATAAGTTTTTGGCATTCTGACTTAAAAGAAAATATTAATATTGATATTCACGTATCAATATTAAACAAGAATCTGAAAGCAATACAAAATTAAACAAAAAATTTCCTCACCTTATTCTTGCAACATTAGCTAAAAAAGCCATCGCTGTGCTGAAAAAATGACCAGATGAAATCTTGGAGACGAGATAGCCGGCAGCCTCTCTACAGTATCCATCTAAACCAAGGAGAAGATGGAAGCCTCCTAATATTTTTATAAGCAGGTAATCAAACATTTGTTTAGATGGCATACGGACACACCTGTTAAAAAGCAAATACATTAAAGTACAATACAAATACAAAATTACAAAACTTAATACAAAAGTGCAGCATACCACTGGTAGCATAATGTATACACAAGTATTCATGATTACCGAATCAGGCTTACTACTTACCATGTTTTCACTTTTATATTTGACATTTAGCATTTAAAACATAAGCATTACTACTATTAATAGTTAAAAAAAAAAAAAAATTATTTTATGAATTGTTTAAACATATATTACGGCCATGACATTTATTTGACACCATTGGAAAGACCAAAGTTTTATATATTTAAAAAAAAAATAACTAAATAAATAATACACATTTCCTAATAAAACACATTAAAAAAAATCAGCACTGAATGTAATGGAACGCCATTTTCTGGGTGAGCCACGGAGCTTACCAGGCTGATATGTATTAGACTGTGGCATCAGTCAATAGAGATCTTGCCTATAGAAACCCCCATGTGTTTGGAAGCATTCCACGTCTGCCACTGACTGGGGTTTGGCACCCAGAAAGGTAGGCATAAATAAAACCGAACAGGGAGGCAGCACTCCCAAACTAAAACAAGCAAACGTCACTAATGCCGTCAGCAGATTGCACCCCCCCCCCTTTCGGAGGGAAAGTTCCGAGAGTTGTAACCGATTTGTTGGCCCATTTAATTCTGGCTTCACATAGTTAGGGACGAGTATGGATTCTCCAGGATGTAAAGGTTAAAACAAATTCAAATAATAAACAAAGGAGGAAAAAAAAAATCCCCTAAAAAAATATATATTTTTTGAACATTGTTGAAAGTAACTGATAATAACATTGGGCAATGTATTTATATGATATATAACAAAATAGAGCTCTAATAACATAATTACTCATTATTATGTGTTATTATGTATTATTCACCAATGCTATAAGGGCACCAGCTGTATATCCACTTTGTGAACACTTCTTACTACTATTCTTTGTGCATCGGACAGGTGCTTGCATCTTTTTATTATTGCATTTTCCATCAGTTCCAGTTAATAGGAGCTGTTCTCTTTATCAACAAAACGTTCTTTTTTTTTTAAATATTCGTCTAAAATCAATTTCTAAAAATATTTTGATACAAGTTTCACGAAGCCGAAGCAAATAAGTTGGAGATTTGTTTAACATTTTTAAGTAATTTTTACATAATTCAAATATTTTTTGAATTATACCCCTTCAATGTCACACTTCATTTGAAGTTTTATGCAGTTTAGAGGTTAATCGATCTTACTTGTGGGTAGGGGGAATAGCTGGCATCAACTGACGGAGATCAACTAAAATTTCCCCAAGATTAAACTCCTTCCACCTCTCTGAACACTTCTCCACCTGTTGATGAATTATTTTCATATTAAGAGGGCAGAAAAAATAGTAGCTGCACATACTGTACATTTTAAATCTTTTTGAACAGAGTTTAGCAAAAGAAATCACAATTATATAAGAATTGACTAACTCATTATGCTTGTACTGCACAGTATATTGGTTCATTGCACACTCAACCACATCATATGCAACATTATCCATTATACAACTGGGTATTTGAGAGACTTCATAATTAACAAATATTCATTTGCTGTACAGTATGTGGAAAAATCATAAACAAATCACAATCTAATGATTTGTTAGTTTTATTGAAGGTTCATACATCATATACAGTACTGTACTATATAAATGAACACCATTAATCACAGTGATTTACTTATACTGTAATGATTAAAAAAAAGAAATAACTTTATTAATGTAAAATCTACTAATACAGTAGAGTACTTTTAAAATTCTACTGGAAATACGATGTACTGTACATGAAAATCTATCTGATGGCTTATTTCTCTTATCTGTGGAATATATGTTAGCACTCCATGCCTATATTAGAAACTTTAAGATTCAGCAAGACTTTAGATGAGCATTACTTAATTGTATCCCCTAAGAGTAAAAATATAAATGACAGTGTGCTACACAAAGATTACCGTTTGTGTAAAAATGTAGTGAATAAGTAACTTTCTGAAATGCCTGAGAATCAAGATCCTGTAACAAACATTGAATATTTGTTTAGAATATAAGAGATAAAACTAACCTTCTTCAAAGCCTTGTAAAACTTCTCTGTACGATGTCGACCATTTTGAAAGAGAGATGTGGTGAGAATGGCAACCTCACGCAGGAAAGACCAAGATACTTCTTTATCACACAAGACAGCATGACCACAAAGGATGCCTTCAAGCAAGGCTTGTACACACATATCTGCAAGTAAAAGATTTCATAATTCTAAAATAAAAAAAAATATTATAATATAGTCTACACTATGATTATGCAAGTTTAAATAATGAGGTTCACATATGGAAAAGGGACTTTAATAGGCATGTCACAAACACTGCAGTATCTGCCTGTTCATTTATTTCTTCTGGCAATTCCTTATCATATAAAATCTTAGCTTAACCACTGCACTGTGCAGAGTGCCTTGAGGTGCTGGATTGAGGGTGCACAGAGCACCATGTGGCGTTTTTAGATATAGGGAACGATTTAAAACTTCCGCAGGTACACAGGGCTCACATCCTGTGCCTCAGGACTCGACCTGAGTGACCAGCGCTGGCACATGCAGGTGCCGTGCACAGCGGTGCTGTTGAAGTCGCAGACTACCAACAGGCGTGATCTATTTTTATCCGCTCTCGCTATAATCTCTCTCTCATTATTGTTATGAAACCCTCTCGTTTATTATCTGTATTATGAACATTGAAGGTTCAAAACACTGTTAATTACAATAAGTACTATATATTATACAGTTATAATATAAACAGTTAGTTTTTATTCTTTTAATCAACCTTGAACAAATGTGACTTTGAGAAATATTCCAAATAAACAAAGATGCAAGAGCACCAGTTAGAGGGATAGAAGCCTTAAACATGAAAATAATTAACACGTAATATGCAGTCATACTCAATTAAATACATAGATAAATAGGGAAAAATTAACAAATAATAAGTTTACTATGTTAACTTGTAAACAAAATTGCAAGGAATTATGGAGTGTGGAAGACAAAGGTAGTCAAGTCAAATCCCAAAAAGTACTCCCAAAAGTATAAAATTTAGATTACAGAGATTGGGTAATTTTAAGCAGTCAATCTCAGACAATAAAAAAATGGAAGGTATTTTAAATTTGGCTGAAGTCAGGCATATTAATAAAATCATTAGATTTGGGCACTGCTCGAAAATTGTGTAAATTTGTGAATTAATCACAATATTTAAAAGAGTAAGACAGCTCACTGGCATACAACTACTGCCTAATTAATTAAACACATTAAGAAAATTAATTGAATTGATAATTACAAATGTCATTCATACTAATCTTGAAAAATACCTACTAACAAGAATCACAACATAGCTTTACAAAAGCAACATTACATTCAACAATTTTACTCTCGTTTTCCTTGGTGTTTCAGCAGCCAATCTGCTATGGGGTTTTGGAGGCAATCGAAACACCTGATACAATTGGTCGAACCCTTGTTAGAATCTGACCAAATTGTCAATTTTGTTAACCCATGTGTTGCATTTCACAATGGTCGCCCAAGTTAAAATCGGTGAACGCCCCAAGAATATTGTTGAAAACATCTTGATAACTTATTAAACCAAAAATTCAAAGTTTTTTAATGTTAGGTTAGGTTAGGTTAGTGTTCTACCACTGCGCCATGGGAACTTCATATCTATGGGGAAATTTGAACATTAAATCGGCGTTCGCCAATTTAAACTTGGGCGACTATTGTGGAAACGCAAGACATGGATTGATCCAATTGCTACTTGGGCCAGATTTCTTTATGATTCAGAACAAAATCATGGGTGTGCTGCTCCAAGTCATGAATATCATTTTAAAATACAGTAATGTCAGCACTTTAAAGCACCATTTGTGTATAAATACTACACCACCACACTTCATAACCACACATTAAAGATATAAGGTACATTAAGTTTACCTCCAGCCACCCAATGAGTGATAAATTCACGGACTTGCCCTATCCAGATTAGATTAAGGGGCCTCGTAGCCTGGTGGATAGCGCGCAGGACTCGTAATTCTGTGGCGCGGGTTCAATTCCCGCACGAGGCAGAAACAAATGGGCAAAGTTTCTTTCACCCTGAATGCCCCTGTTACCTAGCAGTAAATAGGTACCTGGGAGTTAGTCAGCTGTCACGGGCTGCTTCCTGGGGGTGGAGGCCTGGTCGAGGACCGGGCCGCGGGGACACTAAAGCCCCGAAATCATCTCAAGATAACCTCAAGAAGAAGATCCACCGAAGCCATGAATGGCTAACATTCAAAATACTGAAAATTCAGTTTGCAAGTCCAAGGGAATGGTAAAGATACATTTACCAAGTTGCTAGCTTCCTGGCCCCATCAAGGCCACTATGATAGCTGAATTCGTAAATTAAATAAATTGAAGCTAAATTTATAACAAAAAATATCAGAAGGGAACGGTAGCACCATAGGGGTCTCTTGGAAGGTGTTGGCTACCTACCAAAGTTCTCCCTCTGCCTCTCCTTCGAAGTGTACCGAAGGGTGCAGGAGGGCGGGCGCACCACCTCGCGCCTGTTCCACACTTCCATTCCCTGTAACTTGCGGTAAATTACATGTATTTAACCACAGACCCCGGCCGCTGGCACGGACCATGGCACGGGCAACGGCTACGACACGGACCTTGATACAGGCGACGGCTACGCTACGGACCTATCCATATTTACTTCTTGTAACTACACAACAACAGTATATTGATCAATGAATTAATTTATTATTTATTTATAAATGATTTAAAATGTTATATGAAAGGGAACAAAAGGTATTGTGGGGGCGCATCAGAGGTGTACAGTTTAAGCTCGTGCCGCCAGCGTGTGGCCGGACACATCCCTCTATGAGTGGTTTACTGGTCCTCCATCACTATATATTGGTACTTGTCGTACTTGTTTTAAATTCAGCTAGTACTCGGAACAAGAGAGTGGGGAATCTATCGCTCCTGGGGATGATTACCTTATCCTGCGCTTATTTTTTCTTTCCAAGGTTCCGAGGATCAATTTCCCAGGGCCCGGTCTCTGACCGTTTCTGACCCGGTTTCCTTTCATGATCTGGTCAACCAGGCAGTTAGACGCAGCTGTGATTTACACGCTGCGTATTGTAGTGCGTAAAATCAGTACACGTACTGCGTATACTGATTATAAAGGCATAAATAGAATAATTGACTGTCCAAACATTAGTAGACTCGCTGGATTAGCGAGTCTACTAGATTAGTAGAAAAATTAGCCCAACTGATTTTTAATTATCCCCCAAAATCACAAGGAGCTAAATCATAAATTTAAGGATGGCGAAGAGTAGCCCAAGTCGCTACTATTAGCAACACTGATCACATTTACAAACCTACCTAACACACCTCATCTCAACCTAACCTAACCCAACCGAGCCCAGTACGGCCCAACCTGAGGTAATACATCCTAGCATAACTATATATACAGGTTTTAACCAAGAGAAAAGAAGGTGGGTGGAGCCGTGTGGTGTGGGAGAGGCCCGGCTGAGCCAGCACCACCAGCAGCCTCTTCACTACTCTCGCCACCTGAGTCACGTGTTGTAATATAACCTAACCTCGTCCCTAAACCACAAGCACAACATATAATCAAACACACGTAAGCGAAACTTTAGAGGAGTTATATATATATATATATATATTTGTTGCTTTATGAGGTAAGGTTCCTCACTAGGGTGGACTGGCCTTGGGAGTTGCTGTCGTCGGTGCCGGGACGCTGTTAGCTTGGTCCAGGATGCCACCCACAATAGTTTCCTCTCTCCAGGGTACTTGTATACTGCTAGGTGATGGCGGACTTCGGGGTGGAAGGAAACGTTCCCAATCATCTCTGTCTGGTGGTGGGAATCAAACCTGGGACTCTCCATTGTGAGCTGGCTACATGATACAAGTTTTGATAATTCCCGTTGTGTCCCCTGGCTATATATATATATTTATATAAATGAAAAAATTAGGCATATATCAATGTCCCACTCAAGGTCGAACTAATTCCTCCCCAGGATGCAACTCTACAGCAGTTGCCTAACTACCTGGTATGTCTTTACTGCTAGGTGAGGTTTGGTGCCTTCTTTTGATAATTACTTGCTTACTGCTAGGTGAACAGGTACATTAGGTGAAAGGAACTGTGCCCAACCATTTGTCTCACCCAGGATCCCAGATTGTGAGTTGAGAAGGATGAGAACTGTGCTGTGAGGATCATTTATGCTGCAATTGCCCGTTTGTGACAGGCTGTCATCTCTGCAGAATTTAGGGCAAGGCTGAGAGTGTGGTGATTAGACCTATGACTGAGTACTGGAACCAGCTAGGTTATTTAGCTGGTTTAAAAAATATATATATATTTATTACTATTACTTAGCCACATGCTTTCTCCATAACACAACACAGTAATTGTTTTACATACATGTTCAACTTTATATTTATTCACTGATATGTTTATGGCGGCAGCATTTTTGTTGCAGATGGGATGTCGCTTTTTCGTATGCCTCGTTTCCTGCGACGATTTGTACGTCGAAACACTTCTGAAATCCCTGTAGACCGAGCAAGTCAAACAAAGTAAGGAGAGTTTGAATTCTATAGGAGGTATTCTAACATGCTGTTTAGTGTATGGTTGCATTATTTGTTACCATAAATCAATAGTCAGTATTTTTAATTGATGGGTTTATTATTGAGGATGAATATACAGGTACCTGTACATTATTGTATACAGGTGCATATACCTGTACATTATTGTATACAGGTGCATATACCTGTACATTATTGTATACAGGTGCATATACCTGTACATTATTGTATACAGGTGCATATACCTGTACATTATTGTATACAGGTGTATATACCTGTACATTATTGTATACAGGTGCATATACCTGTACACTATTGTATACAGGTGCATATACCTGTACACTGTTGTATACAGGTGCATATACCTGTACACTGTTGTATACAGGATATTGATTACAGTTGACTCCCAGTGCTGTAGAGAGATGTGTGCATTACTGCAGACACAGTTTGGTAAATATTATATGAAAAATCAGTATGAATTTCATGACCAAAACCATTATTAGATTAAATATTAGTAATATTTTGTATGTTTAATTCATGCATTGCCTGCTTACATATTTCTGTATCAAGTGTCATCTTCTCAGTAGTTGAACCACATCTCGTTAAATTACATTAGTATTAAATTGTACTAACTGCATGAAAGATCTCATAGATAGTTTTGAAGCTAGACAAAAATGTAAGATTTTATCATACCTCGCCTTTCTAAATTAAATGCCATGCTGTTTTGATATCCTAAATCCAATCATATCTCATAAAATATAATTCATTGCGTCATTGGACAGGCAGCCAGTTTATACAGAAAGTACATGTTAAGCTAATATCAAAGAGACACCCCCCCCCCCAGGGTCGAATTACTGGCCCTTCCCAGGATGTAACCCCACAACAAGCTGACTAACTCCTAGGTACAGCACCTACTTGCTGCTAGGTGGCAGGGGCATTAGGTGATATGAAACACACCCAAGTATTTCTGCCCCACCCAGGATTTAAACCCAGAATTCTTGATTGTGGGTCAAGAACAAACCCAACTGTACTACCAGGACCATATTGGAAATAATTATGCGCATTAAAGAGCTTGGTCCCTCAAGGTACAGCTCTTGCACCATTACTTTCATCCTTATAGAAGACATAAACAGGAGTACAAGCCACATTTTTGTGTCATCCTTTGCTGATGACACTAAAATAAGTATGAAAGTTACCACAAGTAAGTATGCTGCATAAAAATTACAGTCAGACATTACAAACTCTTTCAATGAGCAATGGAAAATATGGTGTTCAGCAGTGACAAAATTCCAATTACTGTCTAAGCTCACTTACCCGAATTATACGGGAAGGACCCCCTGCCAAATAGGCCAGACATTCGGATAAGCAGAATTCTTACAGGTGAAGTCCAAAAATGACCATATTCAAAACTTGTTTGTACCACAACCACCATAATTCATATTTCCACTAAATAAAAAATATAATTTAAAAGAGAAACTTCAGCTTATCTTATTGTAGTTTGTCTCTATATGTGATACTGTAGATTTTGAAATGTGTAGTTCTTGAAAATTTACTTAACCAAGTCTTTAGTTATCTATATTTCAGTTCGGATATTGTTTTGCCAGAAAATTATCAGAATTTTACTTGGACTCTGTGGCAGTCTGCATTATCCGTCCAAATCTCCCGTTATCCGAGTTTCTGTTATTGCAAAGATATTGCGAAGTTTGGCAGAAAATTATACGAAACTGATTTTGGCTGGATAACCCAAATATTCGATTCAGCGGGCTTCGGTTAACTGAGCTTGTACAGTACTGTATTTCGATTTCCATTTATAATTTTACAAGATATTAAGATTTGGTCAGTTACACTGTATTCAATATGTATTGGAATATGTACTACAGTATATAATACAAATTTTTGGTCACTAGTCTTCGCTAATAGAATTGTCACATATAGTAGAATACCTCATGTCATCAGGAGTTGACTGTATTGTGTACTCATTTTATTAATACAGTAGATTTGAACATCACTTTTATATCTATATAGTATGTGGTTCCATTTAATTTGTTGATAAAATATATGCATAATAATTATCAAGTGGACATAGAAATCATATATAGCAGAACTAGTATATTTTGTTTTTCTTTTACAGACAGAGACTGTCCATAGCCTATGCTGTAGTTGCATGGCACTTGTTTGGTGTTCTGGTTTATTTGGTACATACTAAACAACTCAAAGTTGAAGAAAACACTAGTGGCTTATCTCAAGGTATGTATCTTGCTACTATATATTGGCAAGATTATATTGTTTAACCATTTCTTGTGAGAAATACAATAGATGGATAAGCTTATTACATAGTTTCATGGTGGATTGAGAATTGTACCATTTTGTAACAGTATTTTACTGCTTTGATTTTTCTACTCTTGTGATCAGTGCAATTAATTAACAACTAAAAAGTCCCGGGTTCAATTCACACAGCAGGATGGAGATTCACTGTGTCTAGGACAGGCAGCCACTTTATACATACAGTACATGTTAGGCTTATATTGAGGTTACTCCCCCAGGGTCGAACTAGTGACCCTTCCCAGGATGCTACCCCACAACAAGCTGAACTCCTGGGTACCTATTTACTGCTAGGTGAACAGGGGCATTAGGTGATAGGTAATGCGCCAAACCATTTCTAACCAAACCAAACCAACAAGCCAAACACTTGGTCCCGCGATTTGTGGGGCCTTTCTGGTCTTTTTTGTGGCCTGCGGTAGAGTTGGCCAGTCTTTTCTCCCTAGGGAGGCTCGAGGATTTCTAGGCAGGCCTCCTCCCCTTGCCTTAGTCAGGTCATCTCAGGGTGGGTGGCTTCGGGCGTGGTCAAAACGACTGCATCTCTGTGATGGATTTTCCTGCCTGTTTCTGATTCCACAACGGGACTCTAAAGAGAGGGTTTCTCCTTGGCCTGTTTGGGTTGGACCAGTTCATTGCTTGCCCCTCCTTTCGAATGACCATATTGTCCTCAGTCCGTCTCAAGCCAGGCACTTGGATTTTCTTCCAAATTTCACAGTTGCCTCGGCTCTTAGTTGGGGCTTTGTAACCAGCGATCACCAGTCTAGCCTGGGTCATTGGTATCCAACCCTTTGTCAGGTGCACAGTACGATTCTGGAATTTGCAGCCGTGTAGGGGGCACTGCAGTGTTCAGATTTCTCTGGGCTCTCTGATCTGACTCCATTCGAACTGTTTCATCCCCATGGTTCATTTTCTGAATCAGGTGGGTGGGGTTCTCTTTGGCGCTAGTCTCTTCGAGTAGCATATCTGCTGGGTTTTCGGGGTGTGCATCTTTGTGCCTTTCACGTTCAGGGAGTGTCCAATGTCCTGGCTGACAGTCTGTCCCGGTTTGTTTCTGTCTCCATGAAGTGGACCATCAATGCTGCCTCCATCCTGTGGCTTTTTCAGACATTCGGGTGCCTGTACATCAACCTCTTTACGTCAGCGTGGTCTCAGTGTGTTCCTCTTTACTTGGCACTGGTCCCAACTGTAAGTCTTTAGCGGCAGTTGCCTTTTGGCTGGACTGGTCGAGATGGGGATTCATATACTGTACCTCTTTCCCCCAGTCCAGCTGCTGCTCTGAGGTCTGGCACAATTGGAGTCCTACAGGGGAAAGGTGATCTTTCTGGCTTCTTAGTGGCTGGCCCAACCTTGGTTTCTTGTGCTGCTTGCTTGGTGTTCAAACCCGGGTGTTTTTCCATGGCTCTGCTTCTCTCAGAGGGTAGGGCTGGTGATGTACTTTGCTGGTTCAACCTTCCCCTCCAGTCTTCACTTCTAGGATTTTTGACGTATGTATTTCACCATCTCTATTGTGATCAGGTGGCTGGTTTAATGGTGTCCCACCTGCGGTGTTCCTCCAGGCGACAGTGTGATATTTCTTGGCATGCCTTCCTCCACTTTGTCCCTTCGTCATTGTTCCTCAGTGTCTGTACGGGTTGTTCTGTCCTTTCTTGGCTTTTCTTGATTGGCATCTTATGCCAAATACTGTTGCCTCTTGTCATGTGACGTTGGCAAAGCTGCTTCGGCTTGCTTTCAGGGTTGGTGGATGAAACAATTCATCCATGTTTCACCTCTGGTCTCCTCATGCACCACTTGATCCTGCCTGATCAGTGAGTGGTCACAGTGTATGTAATACACAACATGTCACTATGCACAAAACAACATAACATACCTTAATTAGATAGAAACGTAATCATAAATTGGCGTGTGTGTAGAAAATTGAGGGAGAGACTTGCGGTTTTTAATTACCACAAGAAAATGCATTCACATTTTCTTCTGTCGCCAACAAATGGCTGCCACTACCAGCTCCAAACTTTTATTTTTATTTCTAGTACATATGAGAAACCATTATATGATTTGTAAACTTCTTTCTACATACCTATAATCATGCTAGTTTTTTCAAATTTGCCATAAGCTTTCCACAAGGGATAAAAGTGGCCTTTATCTTAGTATATATGGTTAACCAAATAGTTGTACTAAATAAATAAAAATAATAATAATAGAACTAAATAGTTGTATGCATGAAAAAAATCTTTATTTAAGAGTTGCTGATTCATAAAATCTACTAAAGATTTCAATTTTTTTCTAGGTCGCCAGTTTGCAAAGATGCTCAAGTTAGAAAATCCTCATTTATATCAGATTCAAGGTGTAACATCTGTGAAACACTTTGATCTAAATGAGGAGTTTGAAAAAGAATCTGAAGAAAATACAAGTGATATCTAAAAGAATTAGAAAGATAACCAGAGGATTAAATATGCATCATACTAGGAACATTACATTATTACTTCATGTCTATTCTGTTCTGTGAGTGATAAGCTTAATATACCTTCATACAAGTAATCCTGAGACTGCTATATTAATACATTGACAAATAGTTTATTATTTTGGCAAAAATTTAGCTTTTAAAAGTACTTAATTGCAATAATAACTGGCAATAAACTTAATATCAAACCAAAATGATTCTATATACTAAGGTTATAAGAGGACTCAACAGAGTCTGCCAATTGCAAAGGAATATTTTTTATTCTGATACAAAAAGGGGAGTATGCTTTTCACTGAGCAAGAAATTACCAGAGCTTAATGCAGTAACATCTGCATTATATGTGCCTGGGGAAACTGCAACCACTATAGATGGTTTTCTTTCTCCCTATTTGGATTTTTCTAAACTATTTGAAAATCTGAGTGATTTGGAATTCAATATTACTCAACGTGGATTAGATATAAATGTCAAACATATCATGAGGCAATGGACAGAGTGGAAAGAATTGGAATGCCATAGATTGCAGCTTGAAGAGGAGAGGGAAGTGATTGCTAAGAAGATGAACTCTTTGAAAAAGGATCCAGCCAGTAATGAAAAGCAGAGAGAACTGAAACAGTGTGGGAAGAAGCTGAGAGAACAATTAAAGGACCTAACTGTGCAGATATGGAAGGTGGAGATGGTAGTCATTACCATCTTACAGCTTCCAAATTCTCTGCATCACACCACTGGTTTTAGCAATAAACAAATTTTTAGCTTATTTAAAGCACCCTCTTTTACATACCAACCAAAAGATCATGTTCAGATAGGAGAGAGAATGGGAGAGTTGGAATTTTGTAATAATTCACCTTCTGCTTACTATCTTAAAAATGGCTTGGCCTTACTTGAACTTGCATGTAGTGATTATTTCTTGTCAAGGTTTAAGGCCCTTGGGTATCAGCAACAATCTAATCCGGATATTGTAAAGGCAATTGTTGTGGAGGGCTGTGGTGCACATTATGTTGCGAGGCACAAACTCAATAAGATTGCAGATCAAGAAGCAGATTTGGAGAGGAATTCTCTACATCTCATAGGAGGTGGGTCTTTAGCAGCATTTTCAGCTTATTTTTCAAAACAAATTATAGAAAAATCAGAGTACTTACCTCACAGATTAGTTACAGTTGGTCGTAATTATGTTCCTACAAGCTCTGCATTTCTGGGTTTGCTTGGCTGCAGGCAGTCTACAGTTGTTGATGCCTTTGTTGTTCATGAATATAACCCAGTGCAGGAAATGGAAATATTGGATGAGATATTGCTATCATTAATACAGAGTTATATAGAACTTCAAGTACATTTTAAAGTAATACAGTATTGTGGCCGACACCTAGAGAGTTACGAGTCGGCTGCAGTAGGAGTGCAGATGTTTTCTCCGAATACAAAGGAGTACCACGAAGTTGCACGAATTTCTGTATGTGGTGATTATATCAGCAAGAGACTTTGGACTCTCTGTAAATCCAGTAATAAGTCAGCAAGTTTTTTATCCATGATTCATATCAGAGGTTGTCATGTTGCACGTTTCTTGGGGCTCTTAATGGAAAATCAACAAAAGGAGAATGGTACATATGATATTCCTAATTGTTTACAGTCTATTATAAGTATGTATTAGTTTCATTGTTGACAAAATGTATACTGTAGTCAGTATTAACATCCACACAAGATACTGTAATTTAATTTTTTTCAGTTTAAGAAGCAACTTTTTTATATCCCATATAAAAAAAAATTAAAATTGTCTAAAATGGCAATAATTTTTTAAGTAATATCTCTGACATAATTAAGGAATGTTTCTATATTTACACTTGGAACATCAACATTGCCAAATATTATTAGTTAACACAATAGAACTTGAAAAATATTACTGTACAGTATTTAGGCGAGGATAAGCAAAATGGGGTCTCGTTTAGGATAACATGAGTTTGAATGAATACTGTGTATTGCTAATATATTTCATTGTATATGCTGTGTTGGTGTATTGAAGTTTAAATAAAATCTTTGAGAATATTTGTTGTTCTTAAGGTGAGCCAGATAAATGATGAAAGATCTAAACTTTCAATGCCACAGTGTGTGTGTATTTTAAAGTAGTAGTTCACTGGATACATATTTACCAATTATGAAAAAATTGGTATTACCAGCATTCACTCCAGTTACACAATAAGTACTGTATATAATATATATATATAATCATATGCAAATCAGATGTTTCATGTGTAAACATTCCTCATTTGCAAATGAACCTTGCAGGTTCAATACATTGTGTAAATTATAATAGGTATAATCATAGTTTTTGTTTTCTTCAACCTTGAACAGATATGACATTTGATGAATTCCTCTTCCAGTTAATAATTAAACCAAGATTCAAGAGCACTAGTTAGAGGAATAGAAGCCCTAAACAATAAATAATTAACAATATAAATGCGCACAGTACTGCAACAGTTTTGATATAGCATGCTATAAGTGTTTGAAGGCTGATGGTTTTACTTGTGACTGACAGTTCCGAGAAGTGGCCAAATTATGGACCATTATTTAAACCCTCGGTACCCACAAAACCTCTGTAAAGTAAACATGTCGTCTTCTACCGAATCGCCACCACCCGACAACCACGGCAACTCTTCAAACAGGATATTAATGGAAGTGATATTTTTTTTGTGGAATAACTTGTCAAAGAACTAATAGCTCTATCCTGCATGCACAAGTAGTAAATAAATGCATGCTAATAAGCCAAAATAAAGGGAACTATATACACTGTACAGTACTTTATATATTCTTTATCCTGTAATCTAAAGCAAAGTTTCAAGGACTTTATAAGATTAACCAAATACTTTGTTCACTGGTATAAAGGCTGGGAAAAAAGACATCGAAAACAAATCCAACTATATTAAACGTAACATACAACAAAATATGAAATAAATGCCTATGAACAAATATTTCAAATCTACACAACTTAAGGAAAAAATCTAGGGCAATTTCACAGGTAAAAACATCTATCTGGAAGCATACACATTACAAATGATTAAAAAATCTTCACCTAATTATTCACTAGTATCTTACAAATTATTTTTCATAAAGGACATTATAGTATATGTAAGCAGTCACAAAAATATACTTTGACATGACTTATCCTCTTCATCAACTTAATATAAAAATTATCATATAAAATTCATTTGTTACTAGTCTTATTTAAACTTTCCACAATATCTGCCCTCTTAAAAAATACTACAATATTATACTGTACTAAGATAAATAAACTGGATTTATTTCCATCTTGCTGGGAAAAAACTAAAAATAATTTCTCTAAAATGTACAGAGGAAGTATGAAGATACACATACAAATACAATTTAGATTAGGCTTCAATTCAGCATTATATAAGTACAGTATTGGGATTAGCAATAGTGACAAGACCTGTCTGGGCACAGCCATAGTGCACTGGTAAATATATACACGAGTATGATTTCCTCACAAACTTGAGTAGTCAAAGAGGCAGTGTTCCATATCTAAATAAAATACATCATTACTTGTACTACACTCACATCATTGGTTTTAATTTAAATATTTTTTTTTTTTTTTGTAAATGGCATATATCTCAAGTATTTTGGGCAGTCGCCATCATACAGTAAATGATCTAGTGCCTAGGGTAAATACTTATCCATTGGAGAACATAAGCTCAAGTACCATGCACACTAATGGTCACTCCATACATCTATGTAATACAGTAGTAGGGGAAATATATCATGTTGAGATATTTATTGTTAACTTTTGAATAAAAATGATATCTGTATCTTCAATATTAGTGAAATGGGGAAGTTATAAAAGAGAAAGCTCAGCTCTGTATTTACAAAGTGGCACAATTGTTCACATGTTTTACTCACTTTCTGGATTACATTCTTGCATCTTGGCATGTTCTAAACATTCAACAGTACCTGTAACACTCCAACATACGTCTATGAAGAAATGAAAGATAATGTTTACCCATCTACATTCTTGTGCATGCACTAATTTACTTTATAGTATATTTGTGGATGGAAAGCTGAGTGAATACTTAGTAATATTTATGTAGTGTGTTGTATTGGGTAAAAAATGGGTGACCTTGGGAGGACTAGTGACATGATGCAAAGTGGCTCTATAGTATAAACTGCAAGTGTCAGGGTGTGAAGTGGCTCTATAGTGTAAACTGTCCAGTGTCAGGGCTCTATTGTACACTGTCCAATAAGGTGGGACATGTGCATGAAGCACATGTTAATCTTGTATGCTATTAAACTAAGATTTGAACACCAAAGCTCATGGTCATGGGCATCGAATTACCTTTAAATGTTCATTTACCACGTTACAAGGAGTTGTCCTTATTATGTACTAAACAAGATGAAAATAATTCTGCTCAGACATACTTTACAACCTCATCACTTAAAACCGTCTATATACACAAAGTACACTAATATTTACAGTATACTGTACAAAATGTTTCCTCTTAATTTGACCAGAAAAACAGACAATTGTACTAGCATTTACTTCCAATAGTACACAAAAATGTGAAAAATATTAAGTCTATGAGGCCTTCAATAAAAGTTTTCTTGTAATATTATACAGAGTCTATTCAATTATACACGCAGGCTAAATAATATGACAACTTTCTTAAGCACAACTACTATGCTGATTGTCAAGTGAAAATAATTCTTTTAAGTATAGTGACATTTTAAAAATCAATATTTGTTGTGATTCACACCACATGATAATACCAAACAAACAAATGAAAATGAACAAATAAATGACAACAAATGAAGACAAGAACGTTGTTGGAAATATATATGTCTTCCATCTTAATATTAATTCAAATTTCCAAAATAAATGTACTGTACATTTATTTCTTATTCAGTTTGCTACGGACAATATCTCGAAATTGGGTAAGAATCTTATTTTCCCTCTTCTGTCTTTCTTCCTTACTGAACATAGCTAACGCTCGTTTCTCATCGGCTGAATAAATCTGGTTTTCCTTTCGCAAACGTACAGCCTCCATGCGCCGGTGACGACTTCCACTCATAACATAGCCAACATCCTCAAACTTTTCAATTTCATCGGATGTTAAACCGATTTCACCACGTCGGGGAATTCGTTTACCTTCTGCTACATAAGCTGCCATTGCTGCACCCTCACCTGGCAACAGGGCCTGTAATAAGGTGTACATTTCATAAGCCATTAATAATAACAAAATCCATTACATTACATTACCTTATTTTCAATTTTAAATCCTAATACAGTACTGCATTACTGTAGTAATACAGTACTTGGCTTGTGTATACAATATACAATAGTACGGTATAAATGAATGGTGGGATTTAGACCTTGGGTCAAGAACTAACCAATTAGTTATTCATGCTAGGTTTTCCTTTAGGCATGATCCCCCAATTTTTTTTTTACGTACAGTAAACCCAAACCCTCATTTAATTTGAGGAGTACAAGCCTAAATGGAGTGAAGGACTAGTGCCCATTTGTCCTATTCTGTCCACAATGAACTACAACCACAAGTCCACTCACTTGCAAGAAGTGTACTAACCATTGCACCACACAGTGCTCCTAGGTTTTCATATATTGCTCCATACATTATTGTAAAAATTTATATAAATTTATGTACTGTACCGTATTCTATTTAAATTACCCGATTAAAGTTCCCCCCTATCAATCCAAGTCATTGGGCTGCTTTCGTGCAACATAAAATGTACAGTACCGTATCCATTAAAAAATTTTGAAAAGTTTAAATGTAATTTATTCAGTATAGTGGTAACTTCATTTACGAATTTAATCCATTCCCAGAGACAACTCATCAACCAAAAATTTGAAAAATGAATCAAATTTTCCGATAAGAAATAATGTAAATTTAATTAATCCGTTCCACATAACCAAAAATATTAACTTAAAAATACATTTTATACAGAATACCATTCATATTTTGTACTACAGTATATCTGACCTTTATTAAGGACTTGTTGGCATATGGAAGACAGTGAGAAGTGTTATCAGTACGAGTGTTATATAACATCAGGCAGTGATGATATTTCTGGGATATTCTCTATCTTACGTTTTGCAGGCATACCATTAGGACCTGGTTGTGGCTCACTGCTTGCTTATCCTACTAAGATTCTGTCTATAGACATTTTTTTCCCCCTACATTTTAATACTTGTCCGTAGTGAGACATCACATCTCTTGTTTTTCCTCTATCATCATCCTCACAACTATGGTCTTGAACTTTACCACTGTTGAACTGTTGAAAAGCAGAAAAACAATGAAATTATTCACAAAGAATTCAAGCGCAATCATCACCAGGGAGGAGACACTGGTAAACTGAGGCGCGCCTCGCCCGCACCCAGCAGATCCACGTGCTCGTCGACCCATACATGTACCAACAAATTCGAGAAGTGAGAAACTTCGAATACCGAGTTGAATTTTACGAAGAAAACGAGCTCGAAAACCAAAACATTCGTAAAGAGGGGCATTCGTCAAGTGAGGTTCCACTGTATATTTGTACAAAACAGGTCTGTAATTATCATTATCAATTATTATTAGTGTTTATTGAAGCCTATTTCCAATGAAGAACTCTTCCACAAGTGTGTTCACCTCATGCAGAATGTCACCATAAAGTATTTCACCTACTGCAGGTGTTTGATAATTCTTTTATAAATAGGCTGGAAGAGGCATCTGGAGAACTGTAATAATAATAAGCCTGTTTGATAGCTTAAAATTTTTACAACAAAATAGAAACTATCTGCAAAATAGAGCTACATTTAGAGAAGAACCATCATTGGTTGATAGTGTACCCATCTTTATGCTCAAGTTAATGAGATATGGGGGTATGTGATGCTTATTATTAGTTTTTTTTCCAGGATATTCCTACGCGGGCCCCTAAGCCTAAGCCTCTGGTTATGACAGTAGATCAGTGGTGGCTCTGCATTATTAGTCTACATAACTTTTTCTTGAGTGTAAATGATGGAACAAAATGTATTTGTTGATATACTTATAACAGTGAAACAAAATATAGCTTCAATAACAATAATAACTTCTGTACAGGATTGTACAGTACAGAAATTACTAAAGTGCTCCTTCAAAAATATGGGTGGTATCATTCTAGATACGATTCAGATTTGTATGAAACCTAGAATTATGAAAATTGCCCTTTTTTGGGTCATTCAACACCCAATTTTTCTCAAGTCTATAACATATGTTCCAGTATAATCAAACAAAAATATATAAAGATTGTGTGTGCATATAACAATTAAGCATGAAGGAATACAAAAACTTAATGTGTTCACTTAAACTTTTGTAGCACTGACTGGTCTTGATACCCCAGAAATGGCAAAAATGCAGTTATAGGTGGTCAAACTGCACTCTCACAAGTTAGTGTGGTCTGACCTTTTGTTACGGAAGCATTTTTACTGGTTTTTCTTCTGAAACATCATTATTTTATAGTTGATGCTGTGTTGTGCAGCAATAGTAGTACAGATGCACATGGTCAGTTCACATGCCTACACAGTAGGTCTGGAGTCTTCAGAAGGAAGGCCCCAAGCTCGTTTGTGCAATTTATAGTACAGTACAAGGTTAGTAAAACATTTCTAAACTTTAAATGCATTATTTTTAATAATACATTATATTTACAAAGAAGTAAGAATAGTAAAAATAAAAAAATAAAAATAAAAAGATACGATTTGATGAGAATTATTTTACGTGACAAACCGACCATTCAGATTTGGCAATGTTTCCCTGCATATTCTGGATATATTTTCAAGAAAAATACGAATTTTAGAGAGCAAATTCAGTCGGCAGATTTTATCTTTTGTTTAGATTGAGCTATAAACAGTGATCAAAATTTTTGAGGGAACACTTAAAGTATATAAAATTTATTTTACTTTACTTTATGATAAAAACACTGACAACCTATTCAGGTTCTTAAGATTTGTATTATTAATAATAAAGATGAATATAGAAGAGTTTTTCATACAAAGGGAAGAAAAACCTTTAGTAAGGTTGTGTTTTAAGGTAGCAGTGCAAGGAGGGTCAAAGAATTCAACCATAATTGCCTGAACTTCACTGAGTGCAGCATACTGACCTAGGACTCAGTATTGTGAGTGAACTATAAAGACTTTGTTCAAACAATATCATTACTACCACCCCCCCCAAAAAAAAAAATTGTCAGCTTTATAGTACAAGAAAATTTAAAATATTAAACAATACAATCTCTCTCATCCACTCATTATATTCCAAATACAATATATGCACTGTATAGCACTACCACATCCACGGCATCGTTCCTAAATGGTAGTTGCCTTTGTACTGTAGGTTTTGTTAATGTGTAAACAAATACATCCCCTATTCTTGTCTCGAGTGATTGTGACAAGTTGTTAAAATATTAGATAAAATTACCCTCACACAACCTAGCAACTCATCGAATTGGTATTATGCCCCCCCCCATCTAAATTATGGTAGCAACGGTTATTAGCACAGTTATGTACCATACAATGAAAAATTAAGGTTGCATTCTTAAAGTCTACAAATATTCACTTTTTTCCTCATTAAAATGCCTACAGTATCTGAACATTATTAAATACTACCACTTTCTTCCTGTCACAAGACTCCATCCACTTGGACTGGTGGTTAGTGACAGCTTTGCTTCTTGCAGTATCAGAGTTCGATCCCCGTTAGTCTAAGTGATTGGCCACCATTCCTTTACTAAAGCTTCATGACAAGAATATAATCCAAAAAGCTTGTATTACACAAAAAGGGCAAGGAATCACAAGGTGTAAATGATGCAGAAACCCACAACAGAACACAGTGTGGCACTAACTTAACAGGTTGCTTTAAGAAGCACAAAACACACTGGACCATGTGCCAACAATGTAAAAAATAAAGTCAATGCATGTTTTCAATAATTAGGATAAAAATCACGCACCACATAACAGAACTACATTATCCAATACCACACAAAGCATGGGCTACTTGTACTAATATGTTGCTCTTATGTACATTGTAATTTCATAAAATGTATATAGTGATTTTAAAATTTTCAGTGAGATTAGAGTGCATGAGAAACAGATCTCACCTTCCCATAGTCTTTCTTTGAAAGTGTAACTTGAGGCTTGGGGAGTGGACCCACTACTTCTTCAACCATTTCTCCATCGCTGTCTTCTGAATAGAGAAAAATAATATGCATTACTATTATACACTTAAAAAATAACCACATTTAAAAGTAAATATATTGAGAGTTTGAATCAGACTATCTTTAATGCCTTGGTTTCCTCTGAAAGCTCCCCATCTCTAAAAAGGGTCCATCTTGCTTTTACAAGGAGCACCTGAAAAATTGGCCAGAATATTCAGCATACTGGTTTGTCTAATGGAAGAGTAATGCAGCCACCGTTCAATTGCACCGAGATTTAAAAATACACGACCAACTGCATTTTTTTTGGCACACACACACACACACACACACGTCATTTATAGAAGCAAAAAATATGAGTCATCAAGAAGGACTGCGGGGTGAACCCCTCAGTGGGACGAGCACCACTTTCTGATCGTAGCTCATCAGTTGTATCTATTTTGCACCGACACACACAAACAAGACTTCAAATTTAATAATTAAAGATTTTCTTCCTGTATATAAAATAATGCATTCCTATATTTGTGCAAACAGCCTTGTATATACACATATGTAAACAGCCTGATAGGTGAACATGAACCTTGACTTCACAGAAAAGACTGTGGTTATTTAGCTGAAACCTCACCTTGAAATTACAAAACTGCTTAAGAATGGCATAGAATAATAATTATTTCAGAACTAGGTAATTATCATAAGAAGGCACAAAGCCAGAAAGAATATGTAGCACCTATTTTATCACAAGATCTCAGAACTAAGACAACTTTCGTACCAGGAAAGGTTGACAACCTCAAAACTAATACCACTACAAACCAGACATGACAGGATTGATCTCAAGACCTTTAAAAAACAGAACAGATTGAAAGATATTAATCCAGACTGCTTCTTTAACAAAATACACTAATTTAAATAGGCAGCGGCTTCAAGCTCAAGCCAAAATGTAAGCCAGACAACAGGAGATGCTATTTCAACCAAATAGGTAATAAAAAATCCACAGAATTACCCACTCACTAAGCCATAAATGACAAGATAGGATTCCTGTTCAAAATCTAAATGGAGAAAATCCTCAGAAATAATGGTTAGACCTTTCACAAGCCACCAAATTCCTGTCTCAATCAAAGCCACTAAAGATTGTAGCTCCAAGGTAAATTCAAGTAAACAGCCTCATAGGAGCACATCTATAAACAGCTTGCTTCTATGCAGCAGACTTGTAAAACCATAAAGAAAATAATTATATTATTTAGGGACAATAATTACATATCCAAGCCAAGCTGCAATAGGAGAACAACTATCAAAAGTATCAACAGGTAACATGTTGATGTTCCCACGTATTGTTTTGTCAAGCCACTGTTGGTAACTTTTGCTTCTCTTGTACCAAATTTCTTCCCTAATCATAGTATTATATATTCCAATCTGTTTGGATAACTCCCATTATTTGGTAGAGAAAACTGCATTAGTGATTAAAAGGTATTAAGTGCCCCCTTGAAAAAATATATATAAAGCACAGGGAAGATCTTATTAAGCCACAAGATGAAGGGGATATTCAAACAGGCATCCCTGAAGGTGTGTGTGTTGTGGACACAGAACAGTGGATAAAACTCCCAGTGCACACCACACAATTCTTATTTTTTCATTAATTTATAAAAAATGTTTAATAAATCTTACTCCTTCGTTCAATCCATTTAAGGTCATCATCTTCTATATCAGACTCTGAATCGCTCTGAGATGATGATTCAGACACTTTCTTTTTGGCAGCTTTCTTTTTCTCCTTCTTCCTCTTCTTCTTTTCCCTCTTGTGTTTTTTCTTCTTTTCCTTCTTCTTTCTCTTCTTCCTTTTCTTCTCATTATCAGAGGCATGAGAGCCATTCTCTCCATCTTTATTGGCTGTTTTGGATTTCTTCTCGTCGTCTGTGTTTCCTACATCAGAACTGAAAAAAAAGTTACTAATTACACACAATACCAGAGAAACATTCAACATTTTAAGTAAAATCTTACTTTACTTAAAACTGTTAAACACAAAATTATATGCATAATGCAAAACTATATATTGTACCGTACAATTTATTGAATCCGAAATGAAATCAATAACGACCATACAAAATATCCACTTTGACCAACAACCCGTTTGTAAAAGAAAAGAAAACATGTTTACCGGTACTGTAAATACCTTGCATCAATAAAATAAAATATAAATATTAAAAACAAAATATTATTATTAATGGAGATACACCACCACAGTTCAATCATTATCATTACTACCCCCATTTCCCACTTTTGTGAGGTGTGTGGAGGGACTTAGCCTAACATACATAATGACACCGAACTTTTCGTATTATGGTATTTTATGCATTTAATCGACTCCCTTTGCTTTCCGAGGCCTGGGCAAGTTTTGGCCCAAAATCCAAAGATTTTTTTTACCTTTCAAGGAAAGCAGATAAAGAGGATAGGTCACCAGTCAAATCTTTTTCTTGTATCCTTATATTTCGTGGAAATTATTTATATCCATTAGTAACTTCATGAGAGTAGCTATATCAACTTATAAAATATTATCTACATTTATGCCTAGAATACTGTGTTGTCCTCTCCTGAACATATCCCCAGCATATTAATCAAAGGAATGCATTATTATATACAACACTGAATGGAGAGCTATATAAGCACTAAGATGTGAAGTGGTGGAGGCAGACTACACAATTTTACATAAAGATATTGACATGTCCAGAGATTCCTATGTATGTGTGAGAGTCCATAAGGCTTTTGTCACCAGGTAACTGATGACAAAAGAGTTACAAATGATGACAAAACAGCTTTCAGACAAGCGCTGAAGCTTAACTGTTGCAGGCGCAACTTGACAAGTAAAACACTATCAATACGGCAATACTCCAGCAAAAACATTCAGTCTCTGAGGGAGCCAGATTCTGGCTCGTGGTCCCTGATATAGAACCAAGATAGAACTCCACGACTGATGAGACCTAGTAGTATGGCACTTATTTGGTACTTGCACGAAACGCTGTGCATATCGTGGCTTTAGGCATAGTGTGTACTAGCTCTATCTAGAAATCCAACATTATGTTTGTCACTTATTTTGAATATATGTACTTTTTACCAGAATAAACATTATCTTATCTATTCAGTGTGATAGCTTCTGGGAGTTGATAGGACTCCCACAGAAAAGAAAAAGAAATGTGCAAGATGAAAAGATGCTGAGATAGAGAAAGGCAAATCAGTAGTCTAGTGAAAAAACAATTTAACCAAGGAATAAATAGGAAACTAATGTATAAAGTTATACTTCAATGAATAAATGGGAAACTGAGCATAGCTCTCATTCTATAACTACACTTAGGTACAGTAATTAGGTAATACTGTATCACAGTTATGGCTTAGGAGTGCATACCAAACATGTGTCTACTTACTCTTCAACTGGATGAGCTGGTGATACACCCCAAAGCTCAGCAACGCCCTCTTCAGTTATCTGTTGACGCTGAACACGTTTGTAAGCAAAATAGTCATCACTCTGGTCACTCTTTTCATTATAGCGGCCAAATCCACCACCACCACCACCTAAGGGAGGAATGGTTAAGAAATGAATGCTACATAATTAACAGCAAAGCAGTGCAAGATGCAAACTATTTAACCCATGTATTGTGTTAGTTTAATACAACAAGACCATTGTGCACTTAAAAAATATTCCCCAAAAATTTTCTTCTTATACATTGTTAAAATCCCTTCCTCGAATTTTTCTTTTTTTTTATATTCAACCACTTACTTTGCAGTGGAGAAAACTCATGAAAAAAAAAATTCAGACAAAAATGCAGAGAGAATACTGGCAAAAAATTACTTTGTCTGCAGTGAAGGTGTGACATCACGGAAGGTTGGTGTCCCATGCCATAGCCTTCCGGAGCCATTTTTATTTATTTTTTTTGGTTTATCTGATGCAAATTATGTAATTTACAATATTTACTATCTAAATATTGTAAATTCATAAACGCATTCACATTCATAATGTTCCAAGGAACTGTGATACACATGTCACTAATGTGTCCACTAAAAAACTAAAAATGTTTAGTCAATATTACTTTTTAAATTCTCATTTTATTTGCAAAGTTTACACTATCACACACTGTTCTTCACTATATTACACATTCAGTGTAATCACAAAAAAATCACATAACTTGACAAGGAGAGATATGTTGTGAATTTTGTTCTTTATAAAAAATACCTATTACTGGTACATATATTTATGACTTTCATATTTAAATAGGTCATATTTCAAATTATGAATATTACATAAAAAACATGCCACTAACCTCGTCCTCTGTAACCCCCTCCATTTCTATAGTTGCTGTTGTCTCTCTTTCCACTTCCAAAGCCATATCCTTCTCTATTTCTATCTCTATCCCTTGAAAATCCTTCTTCCCTCTGTTGTTCAAAGAACTTATTATGGCCCCATCGGCCATCTGGTGTAGGTGGAGAGTGATCTCGATTTCGTTGGTACCCACCACCTCGACGTTCCTCTGGTGACTTTGACCATCTTCTGTCTTGTGGACCATTCCTAAAGCTGGATTGCATGTGTGATCTGTGATCTCGTCTTGTATAGTCATTTTCATGTGATCTTGACTGGTCTCTGTAATTTCTGTTATTATGAAATTTGTTGTTTGCTTCTGCTTTGTTCGGAGTCCTTGCACGCTTCTTATCACGTCTTTCTCTGTCAGCCGAACTTTCTTTTTTATTGTATATATTTCTAATTCTTTGTTTAGTTTTAGAATAGGAGCCAGATCTAGAGCGTGATCGTGATTCTGATCCAGATCTGCTACCTCTTTTTTTCACTCTTGAATCTACATTATGCTTTTTCTCATGTGACCTGTGATTTCTGTCACGAGATTTTGATCTACGACTTCTTTCAGGAGATTTTGATCTATGACTTCTTTCAGGAGATTTTGATCTATGGTTCCTATCATGTGACCTAGACCTATTACTCCTATTATGAGATTTTGACTGATGACTTTTATCCCTTGATCTTGATCTACAAGCTCTGTCGCGTGAACCCAATCTGTTTCTTTTAATATCAGACTTTCGTGTGCTTTTTTCTGGAGATTTTGAGTGGCTACTTCTGTCATTAGACCGAGATCTCGATCTATGCCTTTCTTTGCCCACTGGACTTCTTTTACGACTGGATCCACGACTGTGACTCTTCTTGCTAGTATTTTTTCTGCTGTGTGGTGAGGGTGAACTTCTATCAGGACTTGATTCATCACTTGAATCACTGCTGCTACTGCTATGACGACCCATATTGCCTGTAACAAGGAATACAGTACATCAGTTTATATGACAAATACACAAGTTGTCATATTCAGTACTGCATATTTTTAATACAGTATGATAGCAGATTTATTAATATATTTTGCTAGAACAACATGCACAATTGTTATAAATTTAAGTGCTGATATGGCGGGGATGGAGTATTAATGAGAAGGACCAGCAGTTAGAATCAGAATGTATCAAAATTAGGGGAGATCAGATAGGCCCGGCCCCCAATAAGAACATAAACAATATTAAGTAAGTGGCTTAAGGTTAATACGTCAGCCTAGAGGTTTGATCACTGCTTCCCTACACAGGAAGAATGGATACACCTCAAAAACTAACTTATTTATTAAACCCTCTTAACAACCCCCCATGTACATTAAATAACAATAACAATAATTACTTTACCACACTATCTTACTTTAAAAGCCTTGGTCCACATAGTCAGGATACAAGGTTTTACAATTAGGACAAGCTAGGGTAAAATCTACTGGCAAGGGACACTAGCAAGGACTCTAGGTAGCTTGGTACCACTTGAGCACACGTGATTCCACTGAGACCCCTTAGAGTAACTTAGCAATATAAACACTAGCGTAGCCTATACACATTACTACACACTCATGCCAGAAAACGAACATGCAGCACGGTACTTAGCTTGGTAAACTAGACACAGGATAAGGTAAGGGAAGAGTAGGAGAAAGAGAGGGATACAGAGCAACACAGAAGAGGTGTTGACTCAACCACAGCAGTTCAGAGAAGAAAGCGAGCCTGCAGTCTCAGCTCTCTCCAGCTGAATCGCTGCCGGCCGAATACTCAGCTAATCGTACAGCAGAACTCAATCACAGTTTACTCAGACCTACTTTACTAATACTTTCTACTCATTTGTAGACATAGTGGATACCTATTTTAATAATTAATAATCCACAACAAGCTCAGTCTTATTATGCTCTGTGAGAAACGATATTCATCTTACGTCTGGCAAGGGCGACGGAAATAAGGCATACTCCAAGGTTTTAAGGATTCATTCAGTGTCTGCCTGAAGCGCTATGTATGCTAGTGGCTTTACAAGAATGTAAAACTTCAATGCTTTGTACTCTCATAAATCCAATGTACCTTCTTGTATATATATAAATAAATAAATAAATAAATATCCTTGAAGTCTTTCTATTACTCAATGTGAAAATAAACCTCAGGATGAAAGTCCTACCCATTTTGAATGAAATTTGTGTAAAAACTTAATAAAACTACCTATATAGGCTTCAATAATTTGTACTGCAAGAATCATTTTTATAAAATACAGTATTTACACAATGGTAAAAATACCGTAATCACTGCATGTTAAATGCTATTAGTGGTCATTGCCACATTGCCTTTATTCCTTACTTAATGTTGTTCCCAATATTGGTAAATAAGAAGACTATAAAGTGCCATTAACATGTGCAAGTTGTATTCCAGGACCCAACCTACCCGTCCATGATACTGTGGCACAAGTGCTTTTCACTTCACCACTCGGATCTAATAACCGGAAGGGTTCCGATTCTGAGAAAGCTTCATCTTTCTCTATGAAGCCTCAACGTATCGGCAAGAATATCCCGACCCCTAACATGGTGTCCCTATACTCCCATACCACAATAAGGCCACTCTAGCTCTACTCAAAACTTCACTTCGAAAACTCCAAACTATAAACTGCGTGGCCAACTTGTCCAAACTGTTTAATGTATGGCCAATATCTGGTGAAGGGCAGGGAATTATCAGGGGAAAGCGCCAAGCCATGACGACTACACTGCCCCAAGATCTGGCTTGAGGTGTTGAACATGAGGCGGCGGGCATCCTAGACTGATCAGAGCGCATTAAGTTCCCCCCCACTTACATCCGCTTCCAGATTATTAAGGCAGAGAAATGTGGCCCAGGAATGGGACTGTGGTGATGTGTGGGAAGGGGAGGTGAGGCAGGTCACACCTATGGCAGGAAGGTCAGATCTGTGTAGAGTCACATACCAGCAACGTTAAGGAGCCGCGACCTGCGATGTCTGAGGTAAACACACTAATGGCCAAGGGCCCGCGGGACCCAAACAACTCTCATCTCATTTCTCCCTCAATTCTACCCTCTTCCTTATTCTTTATTATTCCACATTTACACTTTATATTTTTTCTAATTTATATTTATTATTTTTTTTAATTTAAATGTGTAGAATTGTACCATTAAGCATAAAATGAGATCTCTTTGAAATCAAACGCCTTTATACCTCTGTAGCCCCACAAACCACCCTAGCAAGCAAACATCTCATCCAACCCCCACAAAGCCAAACACACAGCTCCCAGAGCCCAACCAAACTCCCTCTTTAGCTGTACCAAACAAACCCTTCTTTAGCCCTACCTAACAATCGCCCACTCTTCCCCTTGCCTTAACAACTAACCTTGGAGCCAAAGCAAACAAACAATTGAGCCCTATACAAAAAAGAAACCTGGAACTCTTGCAAAAAATACAACAATGAAACCCTAGAAGATAAATATGCAGTCAGCCATAGTAAAGAAACATCCATGATGATCTAGCAAAGATACATGAGGCACTAGCACACAACCCCTGGAGCACAACCATGCACGAACCGAAGCCCGAATATGCACAACCCGAAGCGGAAGTGACACCCCCGGAGCCCGACCAGCTACGTAACCGGAGCCCGACCAGTTGTGTAACCGGAGCCCGACCAGTTATGCAAACCGGAGCCCGACCAGTTGTGTAACCGACGCCCGACCAGTTGTGTAACCGGACCCAGATCAGTTGTGTAACTGCAAACCTAGCAAGCAAACATCTCATCCAACCCCCACAAAGCCAAACACACACAGCTCCCAGAGCCCAACCAAACTCCCTCTTTAGCTGTACCAAACAAACCCTTCTTTAGCCCTACCTAACAATCGCCCACTCTTCCCCTTGCCTTAACAACTAACCTTGGAGCCAAAGCAAACAAACAATTGAGCCCTAAACAAAAAAAGAAACCTGGAACTCTTGCAAAAAATACAACAATGAAACCCTAGAAGATAAACATGCAGTCAGCCATAGTAAAGAAACATCCATGATGATCTAGCAAAGATACATGAGGCACTAGCACACAACCCCTGCAGCACAACCATGCACGAACCGAAGCCCGAATATGCACAACCCGAAGCGGAAGTGACACCCCCGGAGCCCGACCAGCTACGTAACCGGAGCCCGACCAGTTGTGTAACCGGAGCCCGACCAGTTATGCAAACCGGAGCCCGACCAGTTGTGTAACCGACGCCCGACCAGTTGTGTAACCGGACCCAGATCAGTTGTGTAACTGCAAACCTAGCAAGCAAACATCTCATCCAACCCCCACAAAGCCAAACACACACAGCTCCCAGAGCCCAACCAAACTCCCTCTTTAGCTGTACCAAACAAACCCTTCTTTAGCCCTACCTAACAATCGCCCACTCTTCCCCTTGCCTTAACAACTAACCTTGGAGCCAAAGCAAACAAACAATTGAGCCCTATACAAAAAAAGAAACCTGGAACTCTTGCAAAAAATACAACAATGAAACCCTAGAAGATAAACATGCAGTCAGCCATAGTAAAGAAACATCCATGATGATCTAGCAAAGATACATGAGGCACTAGCACACAACCCCTGCAGCACAACCATGCACGAACCGAAGCCCGAATATGCACAACCCGAAGCGGAAGTGACACCCCCGGAGCCCGACCAGCTACGTAACCGGAGCCCGACCAGTTGTGTAACCGGAGCCCGACCAGTTATGCAAACCGGAGCCCGACCAGTTGTGTAACCGACGCCCGACCAGTTGTGTAACCGGACCCAGATCAGTTGTGTAACTGCAAACCTAGCAAGCAAACATCTCATCCAACCCCCACAAAGCCAAACACACACAGCTCCCAGAGCCCAACCAAACTCCCTCTTTAGCTGTACCAAACAAACCCTTCTTTAGCCCTACCTAACAATCGCCCACTCTTCCCTTGCCTTAACAACTAACCTTGGAGCCAAAGCAAACAAACAATTGAGCCCTATACAAAAAAAGAAACCTGGAACTCTTGCAAAAAATACAACAATGAAACCCTAGAAGATAAACATGCAGTCAGCCATAGTAAAGAAACATCCATGATGATCTAGCAAAGATACATGAGGCACTAGCACACAACCCCTGCAGCACAACCATGCACGAACCGAAGCCCGAATATGCACAACCCGAAGCGGAAGTGACACCCCCGGAGCCCGACCAGCTACGTAACCGGAGCCCGACCAGTTGTGTAACCGGAGCCCGACCAGTTATGCAAACCGGAGCCCGACCAGTTGTGTAACCGACGCCCGACCAGTTGTGTAACCGGACCCAGATCAGTTGTGTAACTGCAAACCTAGCAAGCAAACATCTCATCCAACCCCCACAAAGCCAAACACACAGCTCCCAGAGCCCAACCAAACTCCCTCTTTAGCTGTACCAAACAAACCCTTCTTTAGCCCTACCTAACAATCGCCCACTCTTCCCCTTGCCTTAACAACTAACCTTGGAGCCAAAGCAAACAAACAATTGAGCCCTATACAAAAAAAGAAACCTGGAACTCTTGCAAAAAATACAACAATGAAACCCTAGAAGATAAACATGCAGTCAGCCATAGTAAAGAAACATCCATGATGATCTAGCAAAGATACATGAGGCACTAGCACACAACCCCTGGAGCACAACCATGCACGAACCGAAGCCCGAATATGCACAACCCGAAGCGGAAGTGACACCCCCGGAGCCCGACCAGCTACGTAACCGGAGCCCGACCAGTTGTGTAACCGGAGCCCGACCAGTTATGCAAACCGGAGCCCGACCAGTTATGCAAACCGGAGCCCGACCAGTTGTGTAACCGACGCCCGACCAGTTGTGTAACCGGACCCAGATCAGTTGTGTAACTGCAAACCTAGCAAGCAAACATCTCATCCAACCCCCACAAAGCCAAACACACACAGCTCCCAGAGCCCAACCAAACTCCCTCTTTAGCTGTACCAAACAAACCCTTCTTTAGCCCTACCTAACAATCGCCCACTCTTCCCCTTGCCTTAACAACTAACCTTGGAGCCAAAGCAAACAAACAATTGAGCCCTATACAAAAAAAGAAACCTGGAACTCTTGCAAAAAATACAACAATGAAACCCTAGAAGATAAACATGCAGTCAGCCATAGTAAAGAAACATCCATGATGATCTAGCAAAGATACATGAGGCACTAGCACACAACCCCTGCAGCACAACCATGCACGAACCGAAGCCCGAATATGCACAACCCGAAGCGGAAGTGACACCCCCGGAGCCCGACCAGCTACGTAACCGGAGCCCGACCAGTTGTGTAACCGGAGCCCGACCAGTTATGCAAACCGGAGCCCGACCAGTTGTGTAACCGACGCCCGACCAGTTGTGTAACCGGACCCAGATCAGTTGTGTAACTGCAAACCTAGCAAGCAAACATCTCATCCAACCCCCACAAAGCCAAACACACACAGCTCCCAGAGCCCAACCAAACTCCCTCTTTAGCTGTACCAAACAAACCCTTCTTTAGCCCTACCTAACAATCGCCCACTCTTCCCCTTGCCTTAACAACTAACCTTGGAGCCAAAGCAAACAAACAATTGAGCCCTATACAAAAAAAGAAACCTGGAACTCTTGCAAAAAATACAACAATGAAACCCTAGAAGATAAACATGCAGTCAGCCATAGTAAAGAAACATCCATGATGATCTAGCAAAGATACATGAGGCACTAGCACACAACCCCTGCAGCACAACCATGCACGAACCGAAGCCCGAATATGCACAACCCGAAGCGGAAGTGACACCCCCGGAGCCCGACCAGCTACGTAACCGGAGCCCGACCAGTTGTGTAACCGGAGCCCGACCAGTTATGCAAACCGGAGCCCGACCAGTTGTGTAACCGACGCCCGACCAGTTGTGTAACCGGACCCAGATCAGTTGTGTAACTGCAAACCTAGCAAGCAAACATCTCATCCAACCCCCACAAAGCCAAACACACACAGCTCCCAGAGCCCAACCAAACTCCCTCTTTAGCTGTACCAAACAAACCCTTCTTTAGCCCTACCTAACAATCGCCCACTCTTCCCCTTGCCTTAACAACTAACCTAGGAGCCAAAGCAAACAAACAATTGAGCCCTATACAAAAAAAGAAACCTGGAACTCTTGCAAAAAATACAACAATGAAACCCTAGAAGATAAACATGCAGTCAGCCATAGTAAAGAAACATCCATGATGATCTAGCAAAGATACATGAGGCACTAGCACACAACCCCTGCAGCACAACCATGCACGAACCGAAGCCCGAATATGCACAACCCGAAGCGGAAGTGACACCCCCGGAGCCCGACCAGCTACGTAACCGGAGCCCGACCAGTTGTGTAACCGGAGCCCGACCAGTTATGCAAACCGGAGCCCGACCAGTTGTGTAACCGACGCCCGACCAGTTGTGTAACCGGACCCTGATCAGTTGTGTAACTGCAAACCTAGCAAGCAAACATCTCATCCAACCCCCACAAAGCCAAACACACACAGCTCCCAGAGCCCAACCAAACTCCCTCTTTAGCTGTACCAAACAAACCCTTCTTTAGCCCTACCTAACAATCGCCCACTCTTCCCCTTGCCTTAACAACTAACCTTGGAGCCAAAGCAAACAAACAATTGAGCCCTATACAAAAAAAGAAACCTGGAACTCTTGCAAAAAATACAACAATGAAACCCTAGAAGATAAACATGCAGTCAGCCATAGTAAAGAAACATCCATGATGATCTAGCAAAGATACATGAGGCACTAGCACACAACCCCTGCAGCACAACCATGCACGAACCGAAGCCCGAATATGCACAACCCGAAGCGGAAGTGACACCCCCGGAGCCCGACCAGCTACGTAACCGGAGCCCGACCAGTTGTGTAACCGGAGCCCGACCAGTTATGCAAACCGGAGCCCGACCAGTTGTGTAACCGACGC